CATACATATATCATGATTAATTTCCGGTCTTACCAATCTGTAAATTGAAAAGCAGTTCTTAGTTAAGCAGTTGTTAACTATAATGATCTATTGTTTGCATTTCCTAGGCAGGTTGCCATAGTCATTGTCTGTATGACACTATTGTATGTTTAAATATTGGAAAGCTCCTTTGGGAAGTCTGTCTTTACTTCAGCAGCACAAGTGTTCACGGGAGGAAAAAACTTCTTGAAAATATTTCCTAAGAAGACATCACATGACCGTAACGATATGTGCTGATTAAACTAGAAGCTTGTTCCTCTTTAACTGATTCTAAATGAAATTCAGATTTCTAAAGAGAACATAAGCAAAACAATAAAATTAGGACCCTCGCTCACATTTGCTGCTTTTTGGTGCCTCAGACATCTGTGCTTAATTATACTTGTCAGTGGACAATATATCCTCTTCATGCAAGCTCACATGTATCATACAGCAGAAAGAAGATGAAGTTTCTTGAAGAGAACCTTAGGGGTAAGTGTAAAAGTGTATTTGCCTTCTATAATTTCTCAGATGACAGCGTATGAATAATAGACTTTATGGCCCACTGCCATTGTTGCGGGGTGTCCGGAGGGAAGCTTACGGGAAAAATAAGACATAGTTATGGTCTGACCAAAACCCTAGATTTCCCATGTTTTGGTAAATCACAAAGGTTTAGAAATTTGAAATTTGAAATACCTATATTTAAGTATTTAGACAATTTAAAAATAAAACTTTCAACTCTTTCTAATTAGGAACAGGAACACATCCACTGATTGTTTTTATTTCTAATTGAGAGTAGATTTGGAGGCAGTCTTTCATAAGCAGCAGTGGGCTTACATGACACACAGGAGACCAAGGATGGACCCAGCTGAAAGCAGGCATATCCATGAAGATTTTTAGGAACATGTGCTTTCATGTGTTTGCAACAGAGCAAAAGCAGTCACGTGATCAGTTACTCAACACCAGCCCACACACAGGACCTAATTTAATACAAATGCCTTCCAAATTAGGGAATCAAAATGGGAGTAGTATAGGATCCACAGAAGAAAGCCAATGACAGACTTTCAGAATCACTATGTTCTTCCTACAGTGATTTTTTTTCCCTTCTTCTCACCAGCAAGGGCATGTATTAGAGGTAAACAATGTTGACAGAGTGATTAAAGACCCAAACCACTGCTTTTCCCAAACTGAGCAGCTATGGGGAAAGCAAATTTTTTGTTTGTTATGTTTTCCCAGCAACTTTCTCTCATACTCCTCCCAAATGCAAAAACTAACAAATCAAAATCTCAGCAATAGTTATCACCTCATAATTGCATTTGGAATATTAAATCTTGAAGGACCATATATGATCTTTCATAGAACTCTATGGTTACCTTGTTCACATGATATTGTATATTGACATTTATGGACCAGTAATTCCATTTTACTTTAACATAGTTTTTTTAAAGTTGGACCCCTTAGGACTGAGGCAGAAGAGTATTTGGACAAAGATCCTTGAGCTCCAGTGATCCTTGAGAGCAATGCTGGGGAAATGGATTTTTGCTCCAATTTAAGGTAGATGTGTAGGTTTTAATTTTGCAGACTCTTGCTACTTCTAGAAAGTTAAGGCTATTGCCTGAGAAAGCCCCTAAAGCTGCAGTATTGGTTTAAACCACTCTACTAATACAACCAATACAGCTGGCCAGCCACACATATAAGCTACAAATCTGACCTAGGTTTGGGGTTTTTTGCTAGATTATTTTTAACCCAGATCACTTCTCTGATCTGGTTCACCGCTCTGGTACTGAACAGGATGAGGGTAACAGAGACAGCAGTATGATTCAAGAATGAGCAGCCAGAGATGAGGACAATCAGGCAAAGTGCATGCACAAAACTGCTGCCGAACTGTGGACCAGTATGCTTAATTCCAATGGCTCCTCTGAAATTGCCTTAGATGGTGAACCAATGTCAATCACCAGAGCAAGTCACTGTGATATTTTGCTTCTAGTGTTATTAATTCACAGACAACTGTGGGAGAAGTTCTGTTCTGATTGTATAGTGGCAAGATGTTTTGGGAAGAATTTCTTTTTATTTCAGGGTAACTTTATATATATATATATATATATATATTTATTATTATTTGTAAATATAGGTACTTGGTTGCCAGCGTTGGTTCCACCTTTTCTGCAAGTTCTCCTAATCCCTAATAAAACCCAAGTTTTGTCTCTATTACTCCATATTGTCAGTTTTGCATTGTCAGCATTCATTTTGCTCTCTGACTGGTCCTCCATCTCCACGTGCATCTGAGGTACAAAAAACCTCAGATATTTCTCAAAATATAGATTTCTCACTCTCCAGTAGATTCATCTTCCAATTATTTTATTGATGCCTGGTGGATCATGATCACATTCACTCTAGCAAAGCCTAGGAGACAACGGAACCATTTCCTCCTGACAGGTGGGGTACAAAACAATTCTCAATTTCATATCATAGCTGATAATCAGCTATTTACGTGTCAATAACTGAATCCCACAATCTACCTTTTCCTGTCAGCTAGGAACCCTGCCACTATCTCAACACCCTCTTGAGCAGTCCAGGAGCCACTAGACTGGAAGTTCTACAAAGTCCCTACAACTTTCAGCAGTGTCTTTTCCTAAACTCTCCCAGTAATACGGATCTCAAGAGGCTGTAATTTCTCTGAGTGCCATAAGCAGCTTGCAGACATTTACCCCTCGCCTATACCATAATCATTGATAAGCTACAACGCCGAGTGTGAGAAACAAGTCATCTAATTGAGGTTTAGGGTGGGTTCACCCAAATGCTTAGAAACACAGCCACAAAGAGATCCCTCAAACTCAGTTGCATGGTTCCTACATCAGCTTTTTGTAAAGTTATAGATTTAAGACTGGTCTTGAGAAAGAGCAGAAAGAGCAGAGCTGTTTAAGACATAAACTTGCAAGGGAAAAGAAGTCTGGAAAACTGTTCCCTTGTCCGTCATTCAAGGCATAGAGCTTTTTGTCCATTATTGTTATTAATTAAGAAACGAATCCAGGAACTGTAACAATCTCTTGCAGAAAAGCCTGTAAGTCACTCAGAACTGGCTAAATGGTTGGGGTGGTGGTGCAACCATGTTACAATTTCTCACCAACTAAACCACAATTTAGCATTTCAGTTTTGAATCATGCTTGTTTTGCTGCTTTGAAAATGAGGGTGAAAACTTCAGTGGTAGAAATGCAGATTCACAGCTGCTGTTGATTGTTTTAACTCCTTTGATGTCAGTAGTTGGAAGGAAGATGAATAGCAGCTGAGAAGCTGTTTGACTCCTTTACATGAAACAGTCATTGCTCCACATCAGTGTCAGCCAGGGAAGCCTTCTGATGGCTCTAGAGATGAGGACTTGGAAAAAGATACACTGCTGACTGACTGACTGTCAGATCTTGCAGTGTGCTGATCTCATTCCAGGAGCTACATATCTGCATGCACTTAGGAAGACAAGATGTCTCACTCCTGCATTGGCTCAGTGCATTGGCTGCATTGGCTCTGGTAGTTGCTCAGCATTTTGCAGAAGTGTTAAACTTTCCACACTTCTAACAACTGAATGGAAATGAAAGGGGGTTGGGGGGGTTATTCCAAGCAGCTTAAAATGGCGTGTTCTGAATTCCCATTAAAGGATGGTAGTCTGCCATCTCCCAGTTAATTTCTACTGTATATAATATTCAATAGTTGCAATCATACTGGATTTTATTCCAGATACATTAAGAACTCTTTGTAACTAAACTTTCATTTTGAAGAAGTACTTCCATTCCTGTTCCTTAGGTTCAAAATACCATTATACGTAGGTTATCCATATACAGGGATTATAGCAACAAGGAAGCCCTGGTATTCAAAGGACTTCAATGAGGCAAGGTTTGTACGTAGAAGTAACAGACTCGATTTCAGGATGCACACTTCAGTGTGAGCTAAATCAAGAGTCAGTGACTGATCTGATGAAAACATGCACAGTAAAGCTCCTCACTAAGACCAAGAGAGCCCTTCCAAGGCCTGCCAAATACCAGATCTCTTCCACAGTGCTCATTTTGCTTTGTTCCCATACTATCTGAAGACGTGGCTGGTAACTTTGTCAGCAACTGAAGAGCTGAACAGGAACGTGAAAAAGTTACTCTAAAACACAAAAGAAGCAATGGGGGTTGTTCTGATTTCATCCCATGCAGAAGGAAGGAGCCATCAGCAATGAGCAGTCTTGTGCAACATGGGTAAGCAAGGCTGACTGTACTCTGCTGCTGTGGCACTGGTTTCAGGAGTAAAATACCCCCCACCGGCGGAGGGCAAGGAAGACCCCCTCAGCACGGCGACAGTGGGGGAAGGCTTAGAGCACAGGGGTATTGGATTTTTTTACTAATTCTGACAGGAAAACTCAATCCTCTCCACAGGAATTTCCGTTCCCAGAAAAGTCTTGTACTTGGGGGGAGGTGCCCGGCCGGTGTGCAGAGGGAGATTTCAGGACAAGCTTGTTGGCTCTCCCTTCCCCACTGCCGGCCTGGCACACGGGCAGGTGTGCCGAGGTGAGGCGAGGAGAGCCGCCCCCCTCTCTGTCCCGCCGGAGTCGGGATGGCAGCGTCCCACGGGACCGTGCTCTGCCCGAGGACGCGGGGTCCCGGGAGCCGTGCCCCTTCCGCTGCGCCCACCTTGGGCGCGGACGGGGCGGGGAGAAATCCGACCCCCGCCGCCTGGGGAGGGAGAGGGACTGCGGCAGCGCGGGAGGAGGCGGCGGTGCGGCCGTGCGACTCCTCTATCGGGAGGGGACACCCCCACCGCGGGCAGCGGGGACGCCGCCCCGGCCACCGCGGCAGCAGAGGCAGCGCAGACAGCGCGGGGCGTCCCAGGGCAGGGCAGGGGAGGGCAGGGCAAGGCAGGGCGGGGCGCGGCGCTGCCCTCTCGCCGGGCGAAGAGCGGAGAGAAGAGGGAGCCGGCGCCGGGCTCCCGTGTGCCGCCGGCCGGCCGGAGCCATGCGGAGCTGCGGGAGGCTGCGGGAGGCTGCGGGCTGGGCCGCCCCGCTGCTCCTGCTTTGGCAGTGCCTGCCGACGGCGCGGGCCTACAACTTGGACACCCGGCACGCGCTGCTCTTCCGCGGGGACAACGGGACCCTCTTCGGCTACTCGGTTCTCCTGCACCGCCACGGCGAGGAGCGATGGTGAGTCCCCGGCCGGGCCGCCCCCGTGGAGGCCCGTCGCGCTTTTTCGCGGCCGCGGCTCCTAACGCTGCCGTCTCTGCCCCGCAGGCTGGTGGCGGGCGCGCCCCGGGCCACCTGGCCCGCCAACACCTCGGTGGTCAACCCCGGGGCCATTTTTCGGTGCCGGATCGGCGGGAACCCCCACGGGCAGTGCGAGCAGCTCCAGCTGGGTGAGTCGTGGGCGGGGAGCCCCCGGCCGGCGCGGGGCAGGCGGCAGGGCTGGTCCCGCTGCCGGCGGGACGGGATGGGGAGGGTCGGTGTCCGCCGCCCTGCGCGCACCGCGGTTCCTCCGCCGCTGCCTTGCGGATGGGTTGTGCCGGGTCCTCCCTGGGTTAAACTGGGGTTTACCTCTCGCTAAAGGGCGACATCAGCGCTATTGCCAAAGGGCAGTAACGGCGGCATCAAGACAGAAAACATGCACCAGAACTCGCTTGGGAGACTTGGGTGTGACAGCGCCCGTTCCCACAGCCATGTTTCGCACCTTTGAGCGCGCGGGTTAAAGTCCCGTGAGAGGCTCGGTCCAAGTCCCGTGCTGCTCGAGAGAGCTAGAGCAACTTTCGGAGCAGGGGCCTGATGCAATTAGCTCAGGAATGGAGGAGTAGAAGTGTGTACCTGAATCATCTTTTCTTCTGCAAAGCCTTTCCTTGATAGAAGTCACCCTAAAGTAACCCTGAACCACATTTGTCTTGCCAGATGGGTTCTCCCTGCTTGCAGACTTGTTGAAAAAGTGAGTTTCAGGGGAGCAAAGCTAATTTTTACCGAATCAGTTTTTCCAGCTACTGCATTTAGCCTAACTCCTCTCCACCTCGGCAGCCTCCATAGTTTGGAGATGTAACTGGGTGCACTTATCCAACTTCTAAGTGTTTGATACTTGTTAAAAAGGAGAAGACTTTGCAATGGGTTAACATGAACATGCGTGAGTTACTTTAGGCTCTCTTCCTGTCACGCTTGCATACAGTGCTATTCATTCTATCCTTCTGCTATGCAGCGAAAGTTTCCTGAACTTCCTACCCTGCTGTGACTGAGACCATTGGATCCGTTAGAACTACGAGCGTGCTGCCCAATAAGGATAAGAAGTGCGAGAAGGAGCTTTCAAATTGCGCGCCATGACCTGATGGGCCTTCAGGGCAGAACGCCCATTTTTCCATGACAGAAACATTAAAACAGTTATTTCTCTACACGTCTGTGCATAAAGCTTAGAACTGATAGGTTCTACCTATTTTGTTTCACTACGAATAGAAGTTATTTTTTGTAACTGAGCTACAAAAACCTAAGATACTTCAGTGGTGCTTTACTTGTAGTCATATAAGGAAAAGACAAGCAGTTGTTACTAGAAAGAACTGAAATTAAGCTTCCACCAGCCCAAATAGTTGTGGGGGGTTTTTTGAGTAATTTCATTCCAATATTAGATCAATTGAAAAGTTATGTATAACAAAGAGCTTTTTTTCTCCAACTGCTTGTTTGTAAGAGGAGGCTCGCAAAAAGCCAAAGAAGTCAACTAAAGTGGTGAAAGAGCATGTACTAGGAGGCAATAAACCCCTACTCCTGGATTGGAGGTAAAAATAGTCCTTCACAGTGTGGGGGAAGGAAAGGAAGGATTGAAAGATTCAGGTTCTTTCAAAACTACATACGTCTGCTTTACTTCTCGACTTACTCATTTAGCCGGTGAAGAAACAAAAGCTTGAAAGAAGGAATTTGATGGGTTTTTCCTCAACAGCTTAGGGGATTCTAAATGAAATGATGCAACAGATGTATGAAAATGTTTATGTGGTTCCAGAGGCTTAATTTAACATGACCTCTCTTCCCAGGTTTAGAGGCTGCAGGTTACACGATGTAGTTTACTGTTCTATCCTGCACTTCTTTAAAAACTGGTGATACCACACCAGATTTTTCCAAATTGTAGGTTTCCATTAGTACTAGATGACATCTTTACATTGCAAAATTTCATCTATAGTATTTCTGAGGATAAATAGATACTGAAAAGAAATGCTGTATTGTAAAACAGGTCAGTGAGGTCAACGAAGAAGCCAAAGGCAGCTGTGGTGCATGGGATGTAAATGAAGTGGGGTAGTATCTGAGGTTGGTTAAGCCTCTGCCATCCTGCTGAGCAGTCACAGAAATACAGAAGGGAACTTACAATTACAAAGCTGAACCTAATTATCTCTTGTCTAACTCATTCAGGCTGTCAGCAAGTTTTGGACATAATGGTTTTTTCAATGCTGAGTCTTTAAGTCAGCGACCTCCTCAGTGTTTCTGCTTGGATTCTTGCTAGTGCCAAGTTTGGGTTTTGATCTTATAAAACAGGGTAATTTTCTTTGAAAAATATATGGGGACATTGTTGGACGGGTGCATTGAGAACTGCTTCTCTCTTAAATACTTGAATTCACATTTCTTTCTAGGAAAAGAATCTTTGAGATAGTAAGTTTCTGATTATAAGTCATAGAAATGTAGAGGTGACAACAGGCAATAGAAGTGGCTTTTCAAATGTTGGGCCTCTGTAATGAATAGATGTGAATTACTTAGAGATATAAATATGTTAAACCACTTTGTTGCTACATTTTACTAAAGTAGCCTTGAAACTGGCATAACTAATTAATGTAGGATACATGCAAAATTACAAAGCTTCTGATCACACAAAACTGCTGTTGTATTTTTTTTATGTCACATGTTTCTATCTGCTTTCTTAGTAGCAAAAGGGTTGCTGGGAATAGACTTATGCTGCAGTCATCACAGTATCTGGGATAACTCATCCAGACATACTTCAGAGAATTTTCATGTTGTTCAAGGTGTTGCAGGGGCCTGGCCTGTTTTAAGAGCCAAAAGGAGCCATGAGATATACTGCCATGAGATAACTAGCAAGTCTTTGTCTTTCCAGCCCCTCATTGTCACTTTTAAAACTCTCTCTCACTGACGAATAGAGGAGTTTTGAGAGTTTCTTTTCCAATTCTAGTACTTCTGGCTAAGGTGTCAAGTGTTCTATTCTGCAGATTTATTTGCTTTCGTAGTATTTTTAAATAATGGCTTATGTTAGATGCAGAGACTTGTAATCAAACCCTGGGCACAAGTACAAAATACAGTGCTTCAAGTTCAGTTTATTACTTGGAGCACTTAATGTCTACCTTCTAGTCTTGAATTTCGAGTCCTTGCCCATATTAGTTTGGGGTAGTCACAGATCACTGCAGAGGAATTTACACAAAATTCTTTAGACGTTTTGACCTATTGCATTTTGGACTTACAAAACATTACAGAAATTTTTCAACAATATTGCTCTCAGATTTGAAACAGTGTAATTTGCTGGCTAAAATATATAGAAAACAATTTATGCAATTTGCCACCCAGTCTAAAAAAAATAGTTTTAACTACAAATGTATACATTAAATTCAGTGCATGCAGTTTAACATAAGGCCAGAAAGCTCTGCCTGCAGTTTCAGTCATGCACCTTTCCCTTAAGGCTCTGCTGTAATTAACCTATGAACAAATTGCCCTCTAGCTCCCCCAGCTGAATCATTACAAGGGAAAAGCGAACAGTTAATGGTTTTCCCCAAAGGGCTGACCTGTGTTTGTTCAATATTGATTTCAGTAAGTTTGGCTTTTGATAGCTTGGCTTTTTTATCTCACTTGCATTGCTCATACCCTGCCAGTGATCTCCTTTCAAAGAGCCATACTATTCCAAGGAACATGGGACCTTCTGGACCTAGGTCTGTTGCAGAGGTATAGAAACAGGTGTCACTTAAAAATGTTTTGGGTAAAAGTAATTTCAGAGATGTAAGAGGATTAAGACCTATCAGATCTATGAAAAGAGAGAGAATTTCCCTGGGCAAGTGAAAGAGAGACTGATGAGGCCCTGACATCTCAGAGCAGGATATCAGAAGGCTTACTGTCTTTGCAGTAGACTTCACAGTTTTCATCAGTTAGCAATAGGACCAGAGGAGTTATTGGAGGATAAAAAGGATCATGGGAAGCTGTTGGGCATGGAAAACACTGGAGCAAGTTATATAAAACTGGTTTCTCAGGTGGCATTGCAAACATCTGTATTATAGTCCTTGAGGCCAAAGCTAGAAGTGGCTTTATAAGTTGTGACCTTATTTATATGTAATTGTAGTGTTTCTGTGGATGTGTTCAGTGGGGATTATAGCAGAAGTGTATCATCCAGCTGTGTGATGTACATAGGCTGGGCAATTACTTATTTCTCAGTGACTTTATGACAGCACATGTTCCTTTTCCCTGAGGCAACCAAGCTGCCATGTCCTCTTGAGCTTATGCAGTACTGCTCTGTTGCTTGTGCAGAATACTGAATTTTTTCATTTGATAAAGCTTTTATAATGTCATACCCTGAGCAGGGACTCATCATGGTGTCTGGGATGTCAAGCTCACACTTCTCTCTCCCAAAAAGGCCTGTAATTTTCAAGGTAGTTGAATACTTGCCAGTCAGAGAAAGAAGGGAGACATAAGGCAGCAGGTCAGCAGAGGGCCAAAGTGATCCTGAATCAACTTACACTGGAGCCAAGGAAAGGGGGAATACAATCCAATGAGCGTGAATGGTGGTGATTTTTCTCGTTACAAACCTCTGAAACAGGCACAGGACTGAAGTACTGAGACAAGCCAAACTTCCTCATCTCTCAGTCATCCTTGTCTGGTTCTATTTGATTTACTGATAAAAAGTCTCAGAAAGCCTCTTGAGATTTAAATTTATTACCCTGGTCTTCTCTACTTCTTCCGTCTCCTGCAAATGCACATATGAAGTAAGTCCCAGGAAAGTAATTGTCATAAGAGGATGGAACGCATTGCTAGAAGGTATTTACAGAAGTGCCTTTTGTGATTTAAAGGAGGATGGGACCGTTGCACATGGGAGTGTAATGGAGTTTTGTTTTCCAAGGAGGTTTCAATCAGATTAACATGCTCTATAATTCATGCAAACTATGGAAATGTCTCCCTTAGGAAGTGAGAAGTTTTACATGATATAGCTCCAAAATTAAATTCCAAAACTAAATTCCAAACTTGTTTTGAAAAGTGGTATTCAGTACATGGAAGTTCACTGACATTAACCAAGAAGGATAATTTGGAAGTTTATCACTTAATCCTCAGTAATAGAGAACTTGCAGAAAAATCAACTTCTTTTTAGTAGATTTTAGAAGTGGATTTTAATTTGTGCTTCTCTTGGAAGGAGTCCACATGTTAATTCCCTAGGTGACCTAGAGGAATTATTAAATTATGGTAATATAAAATCTCTTAGCCCAAAGACAATTGAATTTGATGTTATTATGAGTACTAAGGTCGTTTCCTGTTTACTTGGATTTTGCATACGATTTCCTTGATGTCTTAGGGCAAGGCACATGCTGGAGGAAGTAGTAAAGAAGAGATGAAGGAGGGTCAGGCGCCTCTTGACCCTGTGAAGAGTGTTGTTTTTGGAAGAAGGTAGAGTACAGTTGTGTGCAGGGTATGTCATCCTTTCTGCAGTATCGTGAGGTGTTCTGGACTGCACTACTGGTCTCCCTATCCAAGCAAGGAGAAAGCATGATGTTTAGAAAAAGTGGAGGGGTAGTATGAGAGTAGGAGAAAACAAGGCTCCAGCACTTTCTTTAGACAAATGTCAATGGCTAGGCCTGTCATAAAACAGTAGGGAACAAGCTCTGAGATAAGGATGGTTGTTAGGTCTTACTCCTACAAATGTTTGATGAAGAATTATCTTGATTCCATTAACCTGATATTTTCTATCAAAAAGTCCATGACATCTTAAGTATAAAATCATCTAAGTCAGTGTTGGCGATGAGAATATATGTAGCAAATCCCACAGTCTCTCATCTTTCTGCTGGTTACTGAATAGATTAGGTGTATCCCTTTATTCTGTTTCCATACTTAATCAATATTGTCCAGTTTTATGTCCTGTAAAGTGAACAAGTCCACTAAATTAGGAGTGTATTCATATAAACTCTGTAATGCATTGGACAGTAATAAATTTTGGCTCTACTGTGAGCACAGTTGTTTTGTTTGGTTTTTTGTTTGTTTGGTTTTTTTGGTTGGTTGTTTTTTTTGTGGAGAGGGAGGGTGATTTAAGGGTTTTTTTCCACGAAAACAGTGTACCCATCAGCATTGGTCGCCCTCTTCTGGGTAAACCCCTTAAACCTCAAAAGTTTTGGGTTCACCAGTAACTGAATTGAATCTAGGAAAGTTTTAAAAATTATACAAAAGAGCTTGTTCAAATGACATAATGTGTCTCCTTATTTTATAGGAAGGTTTTTCATAAACTGTCATGTTGATGCATAGAAAATACCAATTCAATAATTTGATTAATGCTTATTCATGCAAACATCTTACAAATGAAAAGCTTTGTATAACTTAGAATAAATGTGTAGCTTCTCTTTATCGTGGGTACCACTACTGCTTTCCAGAAGAAAGCAAATATTTGCTAACTTGGCAATACTGTAGCCTTTTGGGGGGGGGAAAGGAGGAGAAGGCAGAGTTAGAAGAAATTTCAGTATGTTCTCTAACATTTTAAAAAACTACTCTCCTTAAGAACAAACACAAAGAGCTGGTGCTAAATAATTGCAACAGTGCAAGGAGAACGCAGGACATACATATGTAATGATCTGACGTTCCCAGTAGACATTGCAGTTATACACCCTTTATTTGACAGCCATTAGCAGTAGAGATTGTTTTAAGGTCTGCTTCCAATAGAAACATAGTTGGATAGATGCTTGCTTTAGGCTAGATTTTAGGTAGCACTCATGGGTATTACTTGTGTTTCTTATGAATTTTTGGGCTGAAGAACACTTACAAACCAGCCCTTTACCAAAATTGAACGTAATGTCACTTTCTATCTTCATAATGATCCTCACTGCCAACTTATCTTGCTCAGAACCAGTATGATCCCTTTGGCTATGTGCAATTGTACCTTTGTTCAAGAAGAAAGTAAAAAGTCTACATGACCTATGTAAGACAGAGACAAAAGATCACATCCACCAAATCCAAATTACCGCAATGTCCCTATGGAGTTCTCTTACTCACCACATGGCTCTTCACCTTGTCCCTCTGCTCAGAGCATTGGTCTTTGTATCCTAGGCAACCCCAGCGGAGAGCCCTGTGGGAAGACTTGTTTGGAAGAGCGTGATAATGAGTGGCTGGGTGTCAGCTTGTCAAGGCAGCCAAAAGAAAATGGATCTATCGTTGTATGTATTAACCACTGGATCTGTGTGTCTGTTTGTCAGACTGCATTCACCTTCCTTATGCTTCTGTGTCAAATGTTGTGTTTGTTTTATATCCACAGGCTTGTGGACATAGATGGAAAAATATATTTTACGTGAAAAATGAACACAAGCTCCCACACGGTATTTGTTTTGCCATCTCTTCTGACTTTCGAACTGAACTGAGCAGAAGAATATGCCCCTGTTATATTGGTAAGCAGAATGCTTGGGTCCTTTCATGGGGAAGGGTGAGATGTATAATTGGATGATGCGGAGTTTGTGAAGAGCACGTGTTGCTCTGAGCAGGCATTCTGCAGCAAACGTTTGAAGATTGAGTTCTGATGATATGAGCCCAGCTTATGATGCAAATTTATTAGCAAGATGTTTATCACTTCAAGAAAAACTGCTTTCAACAGGCAAAAAATTAGTTGAAGCAGGGCATCAGAATACTTGCTCCCTGGACTGGATCACTGAAAGATATGCCCTTCTCAAAAACAGGCCAGTAGAGGTCATCCTCCCTTCCTTTACTCTTGTCATTTGTGTTCTCTGCTCCGGAGACTCACGCAGCAGAGCAGCAGAAATACCTGCAAGTGATTGTTGCCATCTGCTCCTTAGCCTTTGATACAAAGATGCTGTGGTGCCTCCTCACAGTGCATGTCCCTGTTCCTTACTTGCCTTCTGGCGAGGATGCTGCTGTGGCATGAGACCTTCAGCGGTCCTTCCTCTGAAGATTTCAGGAGCAGAGTAAGAGTCAAGACCTGAAGATATCAAGTGACTCCATCCATGCCTTCCCTTTCTCTACCTCCCATCCAGGAGAACGATCTCATGACCCTGTGCCTTGCCAATGCAAGGATCAGCTGACAATCTGGCCTTTCTGTGCAGAGTAATGCCATCAAATGTCCCACTGCTGGCTTTGGAGGCTGTTACAAGCATTGGTGAAATCATGCTCTTATCTTTGGAGACTTTAAGTGTACAGATCCATGCAGGAGATGAAGGGAACCCTGATGGAAGGCAGTTAGCAAAGAATTGCAGGAAAACAGAGCTGGGAGAGAGTGTTGGATGTAAACAGAACTGCTAAGGATGATAGATACCAATATGTCTAAGACAGCCATAACACAAGCCCTTCATATCACTAGGGGAGCATCAGGGCAACTCCTATGAAGATACATAAGCCTGTCAGTCAGATTACACCTATATTACAGAGTGGAAGAGTTAAGTTTATCCAGATGTAGTGCTCAAACTATTAGTGCTGTTTCATTCAATTTTAAAAGAAAGGTATAGTCTTTAAAGTCACAATATTTCAAAGGCAGGTGTGATCAAGTGCTACGTAGTGCTTTGAGTTTGTTACAATACTATATTGCAGCTAAAGGCTATAGTGGAAACTAGTGGTTTTAGTTTTCTTACACAACTGAAAACCAACTTTTTTTTTGCGGGGAGGAGCAGGGGAGGTTTTTGTTTTCTAAGTTGTCTCAACTTCTATTGAAGACCTGGTAAAAAAGTCTGAAACTACATGCTTCTCATCCTTTTTAATATTTCTTGCCCATTCACAGATTTTGCACGAAAGTTTGGAGAAAACTATGGGTCATGCCAGGCTGGAATTTCTAGTTTTTATATTGAGGTGTGTGTTAAAGATACCAAACTTCTCTCTATTTATATATTTATTTATATGTATACATATCTTAAAATGTATATGTAAATGCAAACATCAACACTGTCTTTTATTGTGGGAGGGAAAAATCACTTTTCTAATTTCTTTTAAATTGAATGTTGTTAAGATTTGCAAATAAGACTTTTACTGTTTATTCCCAAGAATACTTTTATATCGTACCAAATCCAAAGTTACTTTTCATCTGGAAAAAGAGCATGAATATAGCAGAGCATGAAGTTTTATTATTCTCTTTAATCTGTTCGATGTAATATTAACACTCAGTGCTTACATTCTTGCTTTACAGAGTCATATTCTATATTATTTAATCTCTATTCCACGCTAAGATTATAATTTCAAAAAGACTCTTTTGAGAAGAGAATATCCTGTTTGTTGCTCTGTTTTGTTGTTACAGCTCAAAGCTTTAATAGCCGTATTTTTAGAAAGTCTGGAAAATATTGTCTGTAATCTAGTGGTGAACCCCAGCACTGAGCCAGATGCATCTCCAGTAGCATTTTGTAGAATTCAAAGGAGACCTAAAGAAAAGCATTTGATTTGTTTTGCTTATTTTCATGAATATTTAAATGTCAATAACATGACTTTGTTTTACTTTTCTTTTAGGACTTAATTATAATGGGAGCCCCTGGATCCTTTTATTGGACTGGTTCTGTTTTTGTATACAATACAACTGCGAATGCAATCCATGCTTATACAGATTCAAATAACCAAGTGAAATTTGGCAGTTATCTAGGTACTTAAAATATGTTATACTTTACAAAAATATAAGCTAAATAGCTGGTCTTGAAGTGAGTGCACAGTGATTTTCAGTGCTTTTGTTATTAATCCCAGAAGTGACAGTTCTAGAAGTGTGTTCTGATTTTGTTAAATATTATTTTATTATAAGACTTCCTCTCTGTTCTTTTTACAAGGACACTTCTCAAACATTAGATTTCTGTTATTATCATCTCTCCTCTGAATTTTAATAATTTCTTGATTTAGAAGGTAGAGATATGCTTCTGCTTAGCAGTGGTTTGGACTTCACTCTTACGTCTGAAATGCTGCCACGGGCTTTCATGGAAAAAGACAATGATTTCACGTATACCAGAAATATGGCAAGTTTGTTACAGTGAAAGCTGCAAGCAAGCAAGTCTTAATTGCATTGTCAATAAGGGGAAGTATGCTATGATCTTTAGAGACAAACTTGCCTGCAATTGTGATTTTTTTTTTATTTTTTTATTCCAACCCTGTTTTGGTCTGGATATGTGGGAAGGCAAACCTTATCTATGAATGTCTGCAAAAAAGGCCATGAGGTGCCTACTCATGTACCTATATCCAAGTAATTAGCTGAATTTAGTGCTACCATTTGGAAAGGTTTATGCCAAAAACCATCGGCAGCTTCAGTCTTCTCACTGCACACTAAGAAAAGCTCGTCTGTCCTTCCTGAACTCCTGAGCAATGGTATTTTTGCTTGTGACCATTGCACTTTCCCATTCATAGATCCGGTTCTAATGGATAAACATTTCCTGTTTCTAATTCCGCTCCTTTGACAATAGGAAGTAGGTATATGTTATGAAATAGCTATTATGAAATACAAAATGGCTAACTAACACTTCAGAATTCAGTACTGAGCCTTGCAAAGGCTGCAGGTGGACTCTGCGTGAAAGTTAAACAAAAGAGATGCTGGGTGGTAAAAGGTAATCAGGCACGCAGATCGCTAGGGTCAACCAGTAGCATTTCTAACCTTTCATAGGACAAACAAAAACTTCAGAGAACACTTGCTTCAGCTTTCCAGTAACAACAAAAAAAGTACTGCACCTGTCAGGCGAAAAAACGCTCATTCCAGATTTCTGCTCCTACAAGTATGAGAATTTCTGTAATGAATGAGTCAAATCATTGATAGCCAGAAGCCAGATACAGGCAAATGGGTACCTTGTATAAGGACTGTGCTGGGGAGAGTGTAGAGAAGGCCTTTGTGCACATCTATGGTCTCTCCTAGTTTCCTTGGCTATCCAGGATCTGAAATCACCTGGATTTTGTTTCACTAATACTTCTCTAGTGACCTGGTACATGTTGGCTCAGCAGAGCCCTGTACCTTTTAAACTTGGCCTTTCTACAGGAAAGTGAAGAAACAGGCCATTAGCTCATCTGTGTGTGTCTAGAGTAGCAGCTGTGATAAACCTTAAATTCTGCATTGTTTCATGCTACTTAAACCTCTGCTTTGTTCCCTCCTAATAATACATAATGTGGTTTAAAGAACACAAAGGTACCTTCCTTCCTCTCCCTCAGCTTCTGTTCTGTTCCATCTTTGTAATTATTGAAGGCAAAAATCTCTTCAGGGCTAATTTGGTTACCAAAATTATTTTTTTTTAAATCTGAGTTTGCTTCTCCCTTGAATAGTGAATAAAAATATCCCTACCAAGTGGTGGAAGTGTATTATGATGAAAGTGTAATTCAAGCACATGATGAGACATAACTATCTACTTATTCTATCCTTCTTCTGGCAAGGACTGAGAAGCTTGGCATCTTTATTTACATCTTTTTCATTAAACACTCAAAAAATAATAATTAAGAAACTAGAGACTGCAGGAAGTGCAAAAGCATAATAACATTTTCCATAAGTTGTTTATGTACCAGACAACTGAAAAAAGAAGGAAGTTAAAAAGAGAAGCTGATAATACATAACTCTTGGTAGTATTTCCTTGACTACTTCAGAGTATCTTGGAGATTAATAACTGATGTCTTTTAAAAGAATTATGTAAGTCAGTCAGTCTTATAAATCAGCTGAGCTCAGCTCAGCTGATGAAAGAGTAACCTCAGGCACTTAACAAACTGCCTTAAAGAAATCACAAAGTAAAAGACAGTTTCTTTTAGGAATCTGAGAATGGCAAATGACATTACCATTACTAAGCTTGTCGGTTTTCTGAAAAGAGGAGAGAATTTTGGAGTTGTAAATAAAATTTCATTTATCTATGCTTTTAAATGGTCAATTATGTGATTTTTGCCTGCCCCCACCAAACATTTTAATACCATTAAATAAAAATGAGAACTATGTGAATACTGTAATTTTTTTGTCTGTTTGGTAGGGTTTTTTTAAGTTCTTAAGAATTACCAATGTTTACACTTCAGCAGAACCAAAATAACTAGAAAATAAATGTCAGAGGAGGTAAATTAAGGTTCATCGACTTAAGCTTAATTTTTTGTTAAATAAATAAAAACTAGATGTTGACCTTTAAATGATAAATTGCTTTGTTCACCTCTTTTAGCTTAAAATATGAAAAGAAAAAGATGTCTTAATGAGAACTTGAATTCTATACAGTTATCTTCACAGATGAAGATTCAAGGCTTGTTCTTATCTGATCCAAGATGATTTTTCTAGTTTCTCTGCATGCTGTGAAAATCAGCAGTCATTCAGTAAATGCAAGAGTAGCAGAATATGTTAACTGTCTTACCAGTTTCAATTTATCTGTAATGTATTCTTGAAAGAGCAAGGATAACTTGTGCAGCTACAGATTAAGACGTTAGCCTTCCTTTTGCAATTCCATGGCTGGATGTCTGCACCAAAATATGATTCTGTTTAGGATCTGTCTACACATACAGCAATGCTTTGTTACATAGATTCATTTAAAAAAGCTGATGTAATGTTTTCTTAATACATAATCAGGCTTTTGCTCCACTTTATTCCTGACATTTTCACGTGTATGTCTACAGTGCTCTGTAGTGCACATGCATATAAGTAGCACTACATTTAATTTTGCTGCAGTCTAGTTACGATAGTCAGAGTAACAATTGAATCAAGTGTTTCCACAATGCAGTGAATGGACTTCTGATCATTTTTATTTGTATTACAATATGGACTCACTGAACAATTGCAGAATACGCATTAACAGAAGGTGTTTGCAATTCACTGACTTTTAAAGTATGGCAGATAACTGAGTTCCTGGGGAAAAAATAAGTGTTTCTGGCTGAAACTTAATGTTTGTATTAACCTTTTGCTTTTGTTTCAAAAACTTTCTTTTCTGTTTTTGTTGCTAATTTACATGAGGTCTGAATGTCAGACTCACAATAATCTGTGGTGTTGACAGCTTTTATGTGGCATGCTCCCACTTTTTTTTCTCTACATAGCATTTCCAGTACTGAATAGTGCATTTCTAATTTACAGGATATGCTGTTGGAGCTGGACATTTTCTGACACCAGACAGTATAGAAGTAATTGGAGGGGCTCCCCAACAGGAGCAGACTGGTAAAGTAAGGGATTGTCTATACTATTGGTTTGAAGAATATAGCCCCACAAAACCACACATGATTTTCCAACTTAGATTAATATATTAAAGACAAGTATCCAATAGATATGACTTCTCACTGGGAGAAAAGTTAAAGAAGGAATTAGGGTAAACAATCTAGATAATGATGTGAACTATGGTGTTAAAGAAAGGTACAGATAGGAAATAGTAAATAGCTGTAGCTTGTGATATTGCGTGTTGCTTTGCTGATTCTCTAGCACATGCTGTCGAGAAAGCAGGGTGAAGTATTTCAGATTATAGTTTGCTGAACTCCACTTGTATTTTCTTTTCATTTTAGGCCTACATTTTTAGCATTGAAAGGCAACTAAACATTCTATTTGAACTAAGAGGTAAAAAGGTAAATATTTCCTACTACTTTTCTGCACCTTATAACTTCTAGCACATCTTCATCAAAATTCAAAAATAGTAATGATTTCTTGCTTGCACACAGCTTGGTTCTTACTTTGGAGCTGCAGTTTGTGCTGTGGACCTGAATTCAGATGGCCTCTCAGACTTGCTAGTTGGTGCTCCAACGCAAAGTACCATCAGAGAAGAAGGAAGAGTTTATGTCTATATTAATTCAGGTTCTGTAAGTATTTTTGTCTTAGAAACACATGGCAACACAGCCATTTTAATATAACAGGCTAAGAAGAGATTTCCTCTCTATTATCATGCAATATTTCAAGATACAGGAAAAACAACTGTAGCACTGTGATGACAACCCCAGCAGGAGTGTGTAGACTACCCGCAAAGGCCAGCGGTGTCAGCTGTAACACAGTTACTTACAGTAGTGTTAGAACTGAAGACAGGCTGGGTTTGTTTCCCAGTAGCTTCAGGGGGTGACAGCCTGTCCCTGTAGCCCCTTTGCCAGCTCTCCTCCATTACTGTGCTTCCACTGAACTGGCATGTAAAGGGCAACTTTTTAAGTACTTTAGATACAAACAAGGAATCAAAAATTTGCATGCAGTTTCTGGTACCGGTCAGGAAAGAGAGTGGTAGTCCTCTGTTTTGCACATAAAGTAACTGGACAGATCATGCATTAGAATTAGCTTCTTTTTAGTCTTTCTAAGGGTTCAGAAGTGACACTGTAATCACTATTTTTGTGTGCTTTTGAATTTGTCTGGCTTTCCAAATTTTATCTTCATGTCTTATTTCCCTTCCTTTTCACACTAATACGTATTTATTCTCTTATGTTTGCTATCAACCTTTTCTTAACTTTTTTTTACAGAGAACTAAGTCACTACAGGATACCTAAAACTCACTAAGGCACATACAATGGCTCTGAAGCAGCTACTGTTTACTACCTTTTTAGCACACACAGTTTTCTCAGAGCAGTAAGGCTCTGTATTTTGATATAAGCTTGCTGCTGTTAACAGGTGTTTGCTGTGGGAACACATTGGTGTTCTCTTTCTTAAAGAGCCACTTATTCTTCATTATTCTTACACTAAATACTGTGTAGAAGCAAGCATTATCAAAGATATTTAACCAAGGAATTTGGAAAGGATGATATATTGGGAACCAAGGCAGTTTTAACATTTTGAGTAATGTTCCAGGTCACCTGGAAGATGCTCTGTAATGTGCCATTGACTCTGTTTTCCTTTAGGAAGCAAAGATGGTCGAACTGAACATAGAGCTCAGTGGGAGTGACTCATATGCAGCGAGGTTTGGAGAGTCCATAGCCAATCTAGGAGACATAGATAATGATGGTTTTGAAGGTAAGAATACAAAGAAAACCCCTTGGATTTCATTCTCTTAGATCAGTGGACTGTCATGATAGACAGGCAGATTTTGGAAGTCTCAAAATAATTTAGGTTTGGGGCTTGACCTTTTTTTTCTGACTTGAAATATAGCTGCTTCACAGTCAATGATGTGTAATACCAAGGATTAGGTTCTGTCTCTTTAATGAAGAGCATGAGCATAAAATGATAACAGTCTGTAACTTTTGGTGCTGGACATCAAAACTAATCCTGTTTTAGATATCTGAGACAAAGGTTAGGGAACAATTTGGCAATTTTGTGACATCATAAATAAAATTACACATTGAGTCTAGATCTGCTTCTGTGTCACCGATAAGAAGTACTAAATATATGGGGATATTGAAAACAACCTTCAAGCTGGGAGACTATTGTGGAACTACTTCCCAGTTAGGACCTCAGGTGACTCATGAATTGCCTAGTATGTGCTCCCAGAGAACAGAAAACAAAGGGAACGACATCAATAGCCATGCCCCAATACTGAAATCATAGTCTTATACACAAGTTTCAGGTTTTGCCCCAAAATATTTGCATACTGTGAAAGAAAACTGAATCCCTATATAGGGCTGGAGAACAGAGAAGTAAAATGAAATCAATAGCAGCATAGCAAAGTAGATATATGACACAGAATATAATGTAAAATGGGCATCCTAAAACTGCAGGGGAGGCGGAGCAAAGAAGTCGATTAGGTTTTGAAGGGAGCAAAAACATTGAAAATAAAAAGTGGACATAATGTTGAGAGTGGCAGTAGGAAAAGAAATTTTGTAAGAAAAAAAACTGGAAGCAAAATATAAAGGGAAATTGGGTGCTAGAAACCATTTTTCTGTAGTAAGTAATAAAAAAGAAGAGCAGAGTGAACTTCTGAATGATCTAAACCATCAGTATCAGCCCTGTGAAGACAATGGGATGTGTGTTGCTGTAGAATCTGACCTCCTCAAGAACATGTATGTTATTTTAATAGGCACAAGTTGACTGTACTAGTTTCATCACACCAGTAGAGAAACATTTTTTGTTTTCTTTATATCTGTGTTCAGCACTGCTTTTGAATTCAGTCAAGTAAATTTGGTCTGGCATTGCATGCATCATGATTTGCATTCCTTTAACCATTCCTTGTTCATATTTCCTACTCAGCTGATCATTGCTAAATTGTTTTTCCACAGATGTAGCAATTGGGGCTCCACATGAAGATAATCTAAAAGGGGCTATTTATATTTACAATGGTAGGGAAGATGGAATAACACCATCATTTTCACAGGTACGCTTTTTCAATTAAAAATAATCAATCCAGAAAAAAAGTAAGTTTAAATCTGAGAGGGTTTTCCCTTCACTTAACACTATGACCACCTGAAGTCCTGTAAAAGACTTCAGAAAATTTTTACGTAATCTGTGATTTCCAGTCATAATATAACCTGTACTCTAAGAGAGAAATAAATTGGGTTTGGGGCTTTAGACAGGGTTTATGGGACTTAACATTTGCAGGAATTGAGGAAGCACATAATTGCCTTCAACAGTTGGTTGGGATAACATTGTAGCTCAGAGATTAGCTTTCCAAGAATAATTTTCTCTTTTACCTTTTCTTCCTCAGAGGATACGAGGACATCAAGTCAGTAATTCTTTAAGCATGTTTGGACAATCCATAGCAAGTGGCATTGATGCAGATAACAATGGATATCAAGGTAAATTAAACAGTGTTCTTTATTTTTCATTTTTAAAAGAGTAGAGATTCATAGGGAACAACACTACTGTGCTACTTGATACTTTTAACAGAAGCACGATCTGTTATTAAGATGACATGTCACATCTTGTATTTTGGAAAGAAAAAAGAAGAGGTAAAACTGAGGCCAAGCAGTCAATTTTCACAGTCATCTAACTATTATTTAAGGACTAAGAACAATGCAATAATAAGATTGTAGTGCACAAGAGGAAGAAAAACATAATTTTTATTTTTAAAGCAGCTATTTCATCTGCTAGTGTCACAATGAGCTGGTTTGGGCACTGGAAGCATGTTTCTTGTGCAGATCAGTGTGCCAACCTAAGTATATTACTGGCCTTCACGTAGTCTGGATTTTGCCAGGAGTGATGAGCTCTTTGACTCTGTGTGAACAGCCCTCTTAGGGCTCATGGCATTGAATAAGACCCTTGTGGAGGGGGTAGTGTTAATTTGGTGTAAAACAAGTTAGCTGTTTCCAAGTATACATTAATTGCTTCATACATATCATCAAAATATTTTAACATTTTGCAGATTAGTGTCGTGTCAGGTCAAGTATGCCTGTCCTGCCCCTGCAGATGTAAAAGCGCAAAGTTACCGTGAACTGCATCATGTATGTTCTGGCTCTGCCCACAGAAATGTTACCCAAGTTAATTTGTAATGCTGGGCTAAAAGATAGTTTACAAGTAGTCTGCTCTCAGGTCACCTGTTGTTTACTGATTTGCAAGTCATATCCTCAGACCCTTGTGTCGTTTAGAGTTATGTGACAATTCACTTTTGCTACCTCATTTGATAGGTGTGTATATATACCATGTATATTTCTTTCCTTATCGCATTAATAGGTTTCAGTTATTTTGGAATAAATTAAATAACTTTTTCTCTTTCTCTCTATGTATAATGTCATACATATAATATACATAAGCAATTAATTTTTTTATACATATATAACTATATATGTGTGTGTGTATATCAATATTGAATATCTGGATTAGAAAGAAGGCAAGTGCCTCCTATGTAGCTGAATTGTCCTTCAGTATCAGCCACTTAAACATGGAATAGAAATCAAATCATAACATTATCAATATCTGGAAGTCCAGTAAATGAGCATGCAGTGTTAATGGACAGTGGAGAAGTATTTCAGGAATCGTTATCTAGACCTTTGAATATCAGGATATCCCTTCTTATAAATAAAGGGAAATGGTGTTTTAATGCTGACCAAAAGGTGAAAATGCTATAAAATGCTTGTACCTGAGAAGTAATTCTTGTTGACAAATTATGCTTATTGATACATTTTTTTGTTCAGATGTAGCAGTTGGTGCATTTTTCTCCGATTCTGCTGTGGTGCTGAGGTGAGATCGCTACGTTTCAGTGCCTTTGAAGACCATACAATTTAACTCTATTTTTTAGTGCAATTTGGTAAAACTCAGTAGTATTATTTAACCTTATTATATTCTTATTGATGTCTTGAACTTCAGTCATTAGGCTCTAGAATGCTCTACAAATCAAACATTTAAGTTAATACCTTGAAGAAAATGAAAATATCATTCTGAAACTTCTTGAGGCAACAAATAATGCGCATACAACTATTTGAAGCTATCTAAAATATGCAGATAGCTTAAAAATGATGATTCTAAAATTTAAAAATAGATTGTCAGAAATGGTTAGTTTTGCACAGATTGTGTAGGCTATTTCTGAACATTATTTGTGAGCATTTACTCTTTTCTGTTCTTAGAACAAAACCAGTGATAATTGTTGAAGCTTCTTTAAAACATCCTAATTCAATAAATCGAACTAATTTAAACTGCATGGAAAATGACCAGCCTGCCACCTGTATGAATTTGAAGATATGCTTTACCTATAGAGGACGAGAGGTACCTGGTTATATTGGTAAGCTACTGGGAAAAAAAAAACAGTATATGTATTCAATATAAATGCACCTATTTACAGAATAATGCTACTGGTATTTAGTAGACCATTAATCTGAGTTCAGAATAAAATGAAAAGTTGAAAACATGGATATCTTTTTTATCTCATGATGTCCTCTAAAAGCAGTCCTCCCAGGCATGGACCAAACCATATGGGACTGCTGTGGGATGCAGACTTCCACTTAGCAATAGAGAGAAGACAATTCCTTCCTAAAGCAGCTCAAGCACCTGATCATTCCATCATGGAACATTATATGAAAGAGAGGGAGTCCCACCAAAATGAATGAAAAATATATCTTGTATTATCTTTTATATAATGCCTGTTTTGCTTTTGACAAAAAACAGTATTGCTTGAAGCAATATCTATCAGAAGAATATTCATGGTGAATTTAGTTAAGATAATTTACAGTCTAAATTTGACTATTGCCTGGGTGCTTTTAACCTACTTGTCATATGCTATTTGTAAACTGCAAACAGCCCTGCAAATACATGGTATATAAAATTAAATTGTTTAAGTCTTCTGTGTGAGAACATAAAATAGCCTTTAGGAACATGTTACAGAGAACATATTGCAATGATGAACTGTAGAGTTACAAGTCCAGATCTTTTGAAATTCATATTCATTTTGAAAGATGAGCAGTCAGACTGGATCACGCTTGCTGGACTTGGACATGAGACTCTTCAACTTCAATAAAAAAAAACTAGCAGAAATTGTAGATAATCTAACTCAACTTTTGGCAAAGATTAAATAAAAGATCAGCAATGCTCTGCAACTTATTTGCAATTTGCTATCATAGCAATTCGTGCTAACTTAGAAAAACCTGTGAAGTTCAACAATATTTGTCAGTGTTTGTTTACCTACCAGTTTGTTGTAATTTGTCAAGTAACTGAAGTGGGTTTTCTTTAAATAGATTCTGGTAGAAAACTATAAATATAATCTGATAAAACTATCCCTGATGTAAAAGCACGTAGCAGGGAACAGTCATGAAGCAATCAATTTTCAGAATATGAGAAGCTTTCATTAGGTATGGATTTATGTCAGAGCATTTTTAAGCAGAGCATTTTAAAATGGATGTTACAGACCATACTTGAGGAAGTGAGTCAGAAGATGTAATTTCTATCATAAATTCATGAAAATCAGAACACCTAAAGATTTTACAACCTTTATTTTCCCTGGTTTTATTTTGCAGTATTGCTTTATAATCTGAGTGTTGATGTGACCAGAAAAGAGGATACACAAGCAAGGTTCTATTTTTCCTCCAACGGAACATCTGATACAATCTCAGGAAAAGTTAAGATTTATAGCAAGAATACTGCCTGCAAAGATCATCCAGCATTTATGAGGGTATTGTAATTTTCAGCGTGTAAATTGTCCTGTAAATCCTTTGGTCTCCTTTGAAAAGCATACCTGCTGCAAAGAAACCTATTTTGTTTATAATTGCATCACATCATTTTGAAAGTAAAATATTTGTGTTCATAACTTCCACATTTATTATATACTAATTCTGATGCTTTCTCAGCTTTCTGTTGAGAAGTCAGAGAGTCTGCCATCTCTTATGTTGGTGAGACTGTGCAGAATAATGATAATCACAGTGATGAAGTAGGACATGAGCAGTCTTGACATTTTTCACCATTTTTTATGAATGACATAGAGTGAGGCTCTATGTGTAGTGTAACATGCATGTTTTGAATGTTTCTGATGGAGCTTTCCAATGAACTCCTTAGTGCAAAATCTTAAAACTTGTGATTTTTATTATATTTTGTCATTTGTAACTATTTCAAAGAACACGTGTATGGTCTTGCTCCCATTTTTACTGTGAGGAGTTAAAGTAGACTCAGCTAATAAGAAAGGAGCCCATCCCCGATCCATAGGAAGTGAAATGAAGGCAATTGCTAGAAAACAGTCTATAGTTCAAGGTTTATAGTGTGGTCTGTTTTGTGAATTTGTTGCAAGGAGCCGAAGGCTAGCTGGGTGTGAAGAAGAGCACTTGCTTGGGATTGTTTGATTTTTTTTTTGTCCTCCAAGGGATGCAGCACTCACCAAGGGGAATATTCTTATAAGCTAAAGATGGAAAAGGGCAGGAAGAGCACTCGTGAGAGTTTCATAAATGAATTTAGATCTGAACAATATGGAGAATGTGCACTGTGCTGAAAAAGTGATCTCTCTACTCCTCTGCAAATGTGAAGCCTGCACAGATATGTCTTTCTCCTGGATGAGTTTTGTAGTGAACATGGTTACAGTTCTCCGTCTGTGAAGATGTAGAGGCAACTTTGTTGTAGAAGAAATTTGCTGGTAGAAGTGCTTCAGAAGAGAAGCCACTGAGGTAGAAGTGCTGCCAGAGCACTGGGCGTTCATCAGGAGGCTGTTGGAGACGTGCAGGGTGTCAGCTGGCCAGGGAGGCCTGTACCCACACCAGTAACAGAGATGGCACCAGCTGCTGAGCAGCAGGAAGCTGGCTCTTGGTTTCAGAAGTAGAGTTTGATCCAACAGCAACCATCCTTTCAAACTGAGTATGATAGTGACTTAGAAATAAGTTATTAAGAATCTAGTCAGTAAGATCTTAACTGCAAAGTAGTCCCAAAGTCACTTTTATCCTGGAGGGATTGAACTGTCATATTCATGCTTGATGTATCCCTCTGAAAGATGAATGAGGGATTTGTCTTGAAAGTGGAAAAAAAACTGAAATCAGGACAAGGATGTAATATTTTTAAGGCCATTCAATGGAGAAGGAAGAGTAAAAGTGATTAATTCTGTCAAACATCTTAGAAGCTTGTCTATTCCAACAAAATTTTGGAGGATAAATGGGAAGAACTTGGAAGTCCTAAACCACAACAAACAATAAAAACCAATGGGCACAAAGGAACCACATTTCATTAAACTTAGAAAAAATAGACTTATTTCCTCCAAGACCTTATCTAAGAGGGGAAAGAATTCTTTAAAGAAATACTAAGGACAGGGATTATTTAGATGTAAGGTGAAACAAAGGTAATAAAATAATAGACTAGTTTGTCTAGCCTTTTCTTTAAAATCCTCAAGGTAGCAATTCTGTGACCTTTTGAAACAAACATCTCTCAGGGTGACTGATGCAGCTGATCCTGCACAGAGGCTGGAAAATAGACTTAATTTTCTACAGCTACAAAAAAACCTGCAGGGAAAAATCCTTCCATGTATTTTTCTTCTTTCTTCCTTTCACTTACTTTTTGTTTATGACACCATTAGAAGCCAATTCTTTACGATAAAGCTTCTGGGTAGAAAGGAAAGGTTATGTTGTCTACTGGAAAATTGCCCAGATGCATCTCAACTGGTAGTTGCACCTAAGTGAATGTTTCTTACAGGAGCAATGGAAAATTGCCACTTACTTACAAGAGTTTTGTAAACTAAGAGAGATCTGATTGACAGCCAACCTTGTACAGATTGCTGTACCAGCATCAGAGGCATTTGTGTAGGAGGAAGGAATTGATTTGGCTCATCACTTCCTATAGTCTATCATTAGTATTTTTTCCTCCATAGAATTCAATTTTCTTCTTAGTTCTTAATTAATAGCATTATAAGCATCTCCTTCCACCCACTGAAGCTCCTAAAGTTAAGTAAGTGTGAATGTCTGTCAAGTACAGTCCTTGCAAGAGACAATATAAATTTTATGTATTTTGAGTAAAGGCTAATTAATAGCTAATTAGTATAATGGAAGTAATATAAAGCAGATGCAGAGAAGACCTTGTGGAAAATTATTATGAATTAGATAACATGCAGTTTGGCTAACGCAAGCTTGCAGATAAGAATTAAAGTAGTGCCCATGTGGAGGGACAATCAGTGTCTATCTATCCCCTACACTTAGGGAATAATTTAATCAGGTTTGCTATTGCTAGTACTTGGTGCTTCAAGCTGTTCAGTTTTCACAAGTAGGTAGTTTGGACTCTGATCTGCAACATTTCTATGCAGTCAAGGCTTCATGTACAAAACAGTCATTTATTGAGGGATTCGATCTTTTTTAACACAGAATGAGAAATAAAGAGGCATAAAAATAAAATTCAGTCAAGCCCTGATTCAGTGGTACCATTGGAGAACTCCTTTTGATTTCATACAGAAATACCCACAGGTTTTGTCTGGCATTATCCCACTGCTTGGCTTTCTCCATATTTTAGCCAACTCTTCCCTATTTTTCTGCTTGGGCAGTACAGCATTTCATAGGTGTGTAAGGCAGTTTTATTGACAGAAGTAGGTTCACTATTCAATAAGATTTCTCATAACAGAAGAATCTTCCATTCTGAAATGCCTGATGCTGTCATTGAACAGATTATGCTTTTCTGTGTTTCTGATTACCTCCTTCAGCAACAGAGATGTCTGGAAAAGTATATGAGCCATATGGAGTTATTTTACATGTGAAAAATAAGTGTTGCTGTTTTAGTTAGTTCTAGGCAACCTTATAACTTTAAAACATAAGCATACATGTCTTGTCTTATATGATTAACTCATTAGGTTTCCAATTTTCATAGAAAGATGTAAGGGATATCTTGACTCCTGTATATGTTGAAGCAAGTTATCGTCTGGGGCATCATATTCTACAGAAAAGAAATGCTCAAGAATTTTCACCACTTCAACCTGTTCTTCAACAGAGGGAGGAAAAAGATATTATACAAAGCAAGGTTAGTGTATGAGTTCTCTTTTTTTTTTCTATGTAGTAAGTAAATATTTGTGGTTTAGTCTTCAGTTAAAAATGCTTCACAGATCCATGGCATGCATTTTCCAGGAATGCATTTTCCAGACCCACACCTAGTGCCTTGATCTTAATTAATAAACCAGAATGCTAAAAAAATGCCTAATTTTTTGCTAAAAAATGATTACAGAACTTGTGTACAATCTGTATTATGATTTAAAAATAAATAAAAGGTATGTGCAGAGAAGTTACCTGAATATATAATACTATATACCTCAGATCACACATGTATGAAATTCACTCTTTGAAATATGCATTCTTTTACAACTACACTGTATGAGTCACTTTCCAGTATAAAACAGTTCTTTCAAATTAATTCTGTGTTAAATACACAATATCATGTTGGTATTAATCTTGAAGTCTTTTGACAATGTTGCTGAAATAGTTTTTTGAAGGTAAGTTTTCAGACACAGTCTGAGGGGGGAACAAAAGAGTATAGTCTGTATCCTTTCATAAATATGAAATTAACTTCCCCCCCCAAAAGAAACTTATTAAGTGTTAATAGACTTTGACTTTATCAAAAACCAGAATGCACTGAATTTTTAACTACCAAATGGTCATAAACATATTATGACTTTTCATAAATTGTAACCTTCATGTAATTAAGATAACAGTTGACCATCAGAACTCTTGAGATATGTGAAAGCTTCTTTTATATGGCATGCTTTGCCTTTTCATCTTCATTCAAAATTTTATTTTAGTAACCTCAGAATTATAGAGAATAAAGAGGGTGTTGTTGAATATAGTGACATAAACATACTCTACAGCAGCACACTGATAACCAAGGCTCAGATACATGCAACTTATGGTGTCTCTACTCTCATCAAACCTTACTGACAATATGATAAGTAAAGGTTGTGTAAAGAAAATCTTGTGTTGAAGGAGAGACTGCAGAGACATCAGTTCTGGATCTTTTAAAACACTCTGCCCTCTTTATGTACTACTTTTAAAAATCTGTCTGAACATACACCCACTGGTTTTACTGTGAGAGACTGAGTCTGGAAAGCCTCTCTCTCCACTGTTACTCTGGGTAAATCATAGACTCATGAATTGCTTTTTAGGAGTAAGAGCTATCAGACACTTCCAAATACTTAGTTACTAGATGATAGGTTTCTTTCTGTTAAATACTCTCACTGATTATAATAAGCATAATACACTGAAGTGCCTTTTTTTTTTTAATTTGGCTTTTACAGTTTATTTTTGCACGACATTGCTCCCAAGAAAATTGCTCTGCTGACTTAAGAGTTTCTGGAAAGGTTGTTTTTCCAAAGTAAGTATAATGTAGCTTTCATTGTTTTGAGAATGATTCAGTAAGATTTTATCTAAATTATTCTTTAATCTTTTATATATAAATAACATGAATTTGCAAAAGTAGACTGTGGACTCCCTGAGAAAATACAAGGATTAGAGCTGTGTTTAGTTGAAGAATATTTTTAAATCATAAATCTTCCAGGAAATGTAACAGAAATCTATATAACTGAAGAACTGTTACTGCATATTTAGAAGATTTTACAGCTCAACATACATCTTCTTCCCAAAAACACAGATAACTGGGCTAAGATACACTGCACAAAGCACACTCAATATGCAGAGATCATAACTACTGTTAAACTGACAAACTATTGGTTATTTCTGCTCATCTTCTGAAGATATTGTATTTGCACTGTACAAAGTCTCAATCAGTATAAAACTGAAGATGTAATATTCTTAAATAAATGAGGAAAAGGAGTCACTTAATTATTTTAAGTTATATTTTATCATCACAACCTTTTTCTTTATTGACTATTGTATTTCAAAGTAAGAAATGTGAGGTTTTGGTGTGCAAAAAGAGAAATTGTACCTGTTGTGAATCTCAGCTAATTAGGTGTTTGTTTCTTGTGTAATTTATCACTTTTAAAGTTGATTCTACTTGAATCGAAATACTAGGTTGAACAACCTAAAATGACACTGAAAGATGATGACAATCATATAATGCTGATTAATCACACCTGTGTGATCCTGAGCACAAGCTTTTTCATATTCATAGATTTCAGAGTAAGATAAGTATCTTTCTGCTTACTTTAACACGTGGCTCGTAGCATGAGTCATAAGCCCTTTAATTTTCTTAGGCTGGATGGTTATTTTATTTGAATGCTCATATAAACTTTTCAGAAAGAAAGATTGTGCAGCATTTTTGTTCATGAAATTAGCAATGCAGTTTTATGAGTACTTCAAAACTCAAAGAAAGGAAAACAGATTACAACAAACCTGCTTGCCAGTAGGTACTAGTAGCAGATTTGCAGTGTAAATAAATAGTCTGAATATCTTGATAAAGTCTGAAGTATCACCTTAAATTACCTTGTGCCCCTAGAATCTTGATTAAAAACTAGTTAGCTGTGAAGCATTAATTTATTTTGTCTAGACAGAATGCATTCATTATCGTTGAAGAACAGACCAAACACTTCTGGTTTTAAAAGAATGAAATCAAATAGGGGTGGCAATGTAATGCTTTACTTACTGAGTTATGAGTCTTCATGTATACACTATCATGTTTTGTTTAAATTGCTTAGATTTTGGCCTGGTCTGTAAATTTCTAGTCTGCATCATGCATTTTTTAATGAAGAATGAAATATGATTACCAGGGAAAAGCTCTAGTTCAGCTGTGTTGTAGTCCCAGATGTGCACCTGGTGCTTTTGTGTACTTGTGTGTTAAGCTGGGAGGCATCTTTGTGACAGCATATTGTTAATGAGCTTGGCTTTAACACATATAAGAGGACCGAATGGTAGGCATATAACTAGTAAAACAATGTTAAAATTTAACCTAAACTTGACAAGCTACCGAAGTGTTAACATTGTGTTTTTCTTCAATTCGCTTTTGTCTTGGAACCTATCTGCTTATGCAGTGCTTTTGCCTTCTGTTGCTTTTCTCAGTGCCAGCTTCTTTCCCAAAGGTGTTCAGTGACTAATGCTTTGGTTTCAAGCCAGAATATCTGATAAATGTCTATTTCTAGGCAGCCTTTCTACAAGTCTTAATTAAACTTTAATGTCAAGCTGAAGTTTACTTTTGGCCCCCCACAGGATGTCTGTACTTGTAACATGATTATAGAACATCACATAGATCATAAGCTAGGCATGTTCACTTGCCCTCTTTGTGATGAGTTTCATATTAACTGAATCCTATATCTTAAGTGCAAAGAGTGAATTATGAAATAATGTCTGAAAATACCGTAGCACTGGTACATTGCTATTCTGGTCTGTAAAGGGAAGGACTGATCTTGTAAGGGCCAGAGGCACAACTGGGCTGATAACAATTTTCTTGCTCTCGCATTAACCACTTTAGGCTTTAAAAGGTACAGTACTGGGGTTGACCATCTTATAACTGGTGTTATACCTTCAGTTACAGGAGAGTAAAACCTTTCTTTACATCTCCAACAGAGCTTTGTCAGAACCAGCTGAAAGTAATTAAAAGGGCAGCAAAGGAAAATTGCAAACAAGCTGTATATAGAATTACTTTTCATTTATATTATGATAATTATTTTTCAGGCCTCATGATAAAAAAACATATCTTGTTGTTGGAAGTATGAAGACTTTATTGTTGAACGTTTCTCTGCTTAATGTTGGAGATGATGCATATGAAACTATCCTCCACATTCAAATCCCTAAAGGTCTTTATTTCATTCGAGTTTTAGAATTGGTAAGAAAAATAAATCTCTCAAACAGTAATCCTTTGGTATTTTTCTTTCTCAGGCATTTTTCAAATTATGTTTATGGATTGTTGAGTTTTTTTAGATACTGACAACCTACACACACATCCCCCTCCTGCCAAAAAAAGCTGACAAAACACCAGTTCTTAAGTTCTCAGACTTGTAGCTACCTAAATCAAGTGCAATTTAATTAATTCAGTGACTTAAATTATTTCAGTAACAACTTGAATAATAAAAAAGATGTTTATAAATGTATTTCAGGATGTTATGGCTTCTTTTTGTCTGATGATCATGTTTTCACTGAGCACAAAGATCTCATTGAATCTGTCCTCTTCACAAATACACAGGCTTATAAAAGGTCACAAAACTAACTGTACTCTTTCTGCCTTTTAAAAATAACGGTTGTCTTTGTAGAATCCCCCTGATCCACCTTTCTGAGGTTGGCTTTTAACATGAGCCTAATGAATGTGCCTTAGCTTCACTATAAGCAAGCAGCAAAGTAACCAGATACAGTAATCCATATAAAATGTTATGTTAAAGTGGTTGTGAATGATATGAATGTCCTATTTGCATCAGTGAAATAATGAATGTGTAGTTCGGGAAAATATAAAGCACCCAATTTCAGTGTGTGCATGTAATTTTAAATGTCTGGGAAAAAAAATGGTTTTTTTTAATGACTAATAATTTGTCCTTTATTTTAGGAAGAAAAACAGATACATTGTAATGTGTTAGATAAAGAAATTCATGCAGTAAAACTTGAGTGCAGTGTTGGTTATTTATATGTAGATCAAAAATCAAAGGTAAGCAATGTGTGAAATTCCTAGCTTTAGAAACATCCTAAATATGTTATGAGGATTTATGATGGAGGAAAAAAACCCGCTTGTTTTTCAGAATCTCTTCTTCATTCTCAACTAACATCTTTTATCATGTTGGTATCTGTATCTCTCCTGTTACTTTTAAAATTATTTGCTTAAACCATTGCTGGAATAATTCATTAAGGGACAACAATGTATTATGTATCAACTGATTGTGCTTGGGTTCTAGACAAGTGAGCTGACTAAGGCTACAGACAAATATGTTAGGTCAATAGAAAGAGAGTAGAAGACACAAAAATCAAGTGTTTCTTAGTTCTGAATTTTTTTAGAGCAGGAAATTATAAATGAGTTTAATAAAATACTTTTATTTAAACTGTCTTATTATATATAAGCAAAATTTTGATTGTTCTACAGCTGGATTATAGTTTCCTCTTGGATGCAAGCTCCTTTACCAGAGCAGAGGAGGACCTCAACATCATCATTAATGCTACCTGGTAAAGTCTAATGAAAATTGCTCAATGAAAAATACTACTAGCTTTGGAAAACTGACTAGGGAACACTGGAAAAACTTAGCAAAGCACAATTGCAATAAAGCGGTTGCATATCTGTAGAGAAAGAGAAATTATACAAAAAAACAGGCAATAGATATTTAAATAATGAGCAGCTTTCTGCCTGTATAAAATGTGGGGATTTTTGTGTCTGACATGTTGTTAGCAATAAAATATTTTGGGTTTTATAAGCTGCAATGTCTGTTTAGTATTAGTTTACAGAAATAATGCATAGCATATGATGATGCCTTCAATACAGATTTTTCTCTCGTATTTTTATAGTAAAAATGAAGATGGGAACATGTTGCTGGATAACTCGCTAACGTTAGCTATACCTCTAAAATATGAGGTTGAGTTAAATACTCATGGGTAAGTCAGCTGTTGGCATACCTCCACATCCATAGAACTGTTGTCTTGTTACTCACAAAGTTTTTAAGCAGAAGGTGATGTAGCTGAAAAATCCTGGGAATGACATGGCACAGCTATCCTGGGGTCTGACCCATCCACTTCAAAGATTTTGTTTCCACAATTGTGAGATGAGACCCCCTTGGTATCTATGGTGCTTCAAACTTGTCTCTTAACAGACTAATATTTTTTAAAAACAGGGTTTGGTTTTTTTTAATATAAAGAGGTATTTAATAAGAGCATAGCAGATCCTCAGCTTCCTTGCTTAACATGGACGATATTCTGGGTTTGTTGTGGGGCATCCATGGAACATAGTGTTGGGATTTTGGGATTTATGAATTTTTCTGATTCATCTGCCTTTTTAAGAGGAAAGAGTAAAAATGCAGATAATTCCTACTCCAAAGGTAGAGGATTTCTACTCTGTATTCCTAGCTTTACTCAAATGCAAACTTGGGTATTTTCTTTGAACCAATCTTACTTGGAGGTAGCATGGAACAGGAAGTTATGCTAAGGATTTATAGCAATTCCATTAATTAACAACTTCTAAACCATTGTAGGTTTGTGTCACCAGCTGTGTTTGTTTATGGAACAGAAGAGAAAGATTCACCAGTTACATGTATGAAGGAGAATATCAACTTCACTTTCCATGTAAGAATTTTCCTTTGTAAATCCTGTCATCCTTGTTTTGAAGGTTAATGCTTAGTGTATCTAGTGATGGTCTGCGCAGTCAGTAAAAGAACTTCTTAAGAGTACAAGGGCACAGTAAGTAACTTGTGCATTGGAGATGGGAAGTTGCTGTTAATCCCTCTTTGAGCACTTTTTTTTTGCCTGGAAAATCTTCCACTGAATGATCAGAACAAAAATTCTTAGCACAGGCAGGATTGAAAGTGGTAGAGCACTTTTGACTTGCCTCTTTTTCTATTAAGAAACACTTAAAAAGGAATTATCTTACAGTAAGGAAAAGGAACTAGGAGCTCCTTATAAGAGGATCTCTAGGTATCAAATTTGTCTCCAGTGGATTAAAAGCAGGAGTTTAGACATAAATCTCTCCTAGTTCCTTTTCCATATTCTCCTGGAACAGGCTGTATGACCTCAGGGTAGTCATCACAGATTAGCACTACTTACTCATTGGCTTCGGAGGAGTGAAGGGTTCAGTAAGCCTTCAGAATGAATGAAACTAAATGTTAGAACTCCCAGCAGAATCCACTTTCATGACAGCATAACAGCATAGGTACTACCCTATTCTGTGAAGTTCTTTTTGTATTTATATATATGTATTTGTTACTTGAATAGCTACCATTGAAGCTTTAACTGTATAACACTTTTCCCCACAAGGTTATCAGTGCAGGACCAAGCATGTCTCCAAACACTAACTTAGAGATAATGATACCAAATGCTTTTCCACCCAGAGACTTCAAATTATTCAACATATTGAATATCAAGGTAAGCACAGGTTCAACATATATTATTAGCTATATGAATTCTTTGAAAAAGAGAAGCAGAGCATAGCCAACTAGGTATGAGTTTGATTTGCTAGCTATGGTGAAGCAGAGTGAACAAGAACAGGATTATCTTCAGCCCCATATGTTTCAGAATTCTGAAAATAAAATTTATATTTCTTTTTAACCTTTCAGAAATCTGTATTCTGATTATGATCTGATATTTAAATTCTAAAAGTAATGATGTTATATTTATTTCCAGACAACAGTTGGACAGTGCTCCTATAATAAATATCCCAGAAACTGTACTGCAGCAGAAAAAAATGAAAATATATTAAAGGATGTCATCACTTTCTTTTCAAAGCCTACTAAGAGACAAATGGTAAGGTCTGTCTTTTAGCATCAGTGGGAAATAAATGACTGTATGAATAAGCCTTAAGACAACAGTACATCTTATATAATGAGGTCAACAGAGCAGTCTTCCAAGGATTTGTGGTGGGACCTGTGGTAAGTTCAGTGTAGTCAAAAGTGACTTTAGTGAAAGAGGTGAGAACTGAAATGAGAAAGTTGATTAATGACACGTTGCTGAAGTCAGTGGATGACTGTCACCTAAAAAGAACTGCCAAAGGGATATGTAACTGAAGGGGCAGGCAAACAGAGTAGCAGAGGACATTCAATAACAAATAGAAAATGATGCATGAGGCAAAATCAGGCTTTATCCTAATTACATGAAGTATGCAGATCAAATACTGTCTTTTCCACATCAAAAAAGTGCCATCAAACGTAACTAGTAGGAGCTAGGTAAGAAAACCCCAAAAGTAGTACTCATGGTTGAAGTTCTTCCTGAAGGGTGTTATGGATGCTAAAAATAAGTGAATTCCAAGAAAGACACTTCAAGTTAATGGGACTGAAAGTCCATAAGAATTATAAAATATATGGAAATGATTTTTGGCTGGGAAGTTCTTACTAAAAATATTTGGGAGGCTGTGAAGAATGTCATATGTGCCTGGCCTGTTCCTGCTTATCCCTCTGTACCTGCTCAAGGACCCTGCTGGAGATCAGATACTTGACTGCGCTGTCCAAACCAGAATTGTTATTTTAGTGTTGCCCTGCTGAGGATTTGTTCTCACGGAAATGTGTCCTGCAACTTGTGTTTGATAAAGTACAGTGTTTTTTAATCTTTCATCTTAAAAAAAAAAAAAGCTGAACATTTTTTAAACGCTAGTTTAGGACTTTTAAGTAAGCACATTACAAGGTATACCAGTTCAGGGCTTGAGAGACAGCCTGCACTAGAATATCAAATCAGTAGTTTGGCATTGTACTCCTGGATACTCCTGTACTCCTTGTACAAGTGTAAAGATCAACTAATTTTAACTGCTTGCACCGGATAGCATAGAGTTATTGTCATTTATCATTACTGAAAAACGTTAATTTGAAATAACAGTGCAAAAAAACCTCCAACCAAACATATAAACAAATTATGAAAATCGTTCTTTTTCAGTCTACAAAAACTTGAATTTTTTAGAAAAATGATATGTTTTTTATAACAGTTGGGTTGGTCCCTTATTACTGTACCTTTAGCACCTATGGACTGACAGTGATGGATGACAACCTGGAGTTACACCCTCAGTTTTCAAGAACAAACATAAATCTTTTTATTTTATTCAGTTCCTGAGTGTCTTTAATAGTAAGATTATAAAGTTGATAACTTTAGTTTTAACCTTTCCCTCCCTTCTACAGTACTGCATGAAAAATGACAGCCTTTGCTTACAAATACATTGCAATCTTGGCAACATGGAAAGTGGAAAAGAAGCGACTGTTCAGTTGCATCTGGAGGCTACTCCTTCACTTTCAGAAATGGTAACACATAAATTTTTCATAGTTGAGGGGAATATTTCAGGGCATATTTGCAGTATTCTCATCATAAAAATTCTAGCTATTAATCTATTTTTGCAAACAGTATGATTAAATATAAAGCTTTGGGGTTTTAACCTATTTTATGTTTTCAATGCTAAGGCTCAAGGTGATGCATGAAAAATGAAAACACTGAAAAATATGTATTTTAGTTTTATCACTTTATTTATGGTATGTATTGCTTTGCCTGTTCTGGCTGGGTTATGTAGGATTGGGATTTAATTTCAACTCATAATTGTACTTTTCTAAGAAAACCAGTGTGGATGTGGACTTAAGTAAAATCCAACCTGGCTTCATTCCAGCTTCTGGTCTAATTTCTTTTGTGATCAGAAAAAGGCACCATTGTGTGTTTCTATGAGATTCTGTTTCTGTGAGCAGCTGGGTTACTGTTTCTGATGGGCAGGAATCAATGTGTTGAAGTTATTTTTTAAAAGATAGAATTATTTGTTTTAATCAGGATGACGCATCAGCATTGAAGTTTGAAGTAAGAGCAACAGCCTGGCCAGAAAAAAATGCAAAGGTTATTGAACTACATAAGGACAAGCAAGTTACATATGTAAGGATTCTCTTAATGAATTTGTGATAAACTTGTTAAAGGAGAAAAACCAACAGCAATTAAAATTGTGGAATTCTTTGCATATCCATACACAGGCAATGAATACACTATTAATTACTTGAGAATGTAACTATTTTTCGTAGTTTGTTTTAGTATTGTTTTGGGGTGAAAAAATAAAAATAACCAGTTAGCACTAAACTTATTTTCTGTTTTTCAGGTCTATTTGGAAGGAATGCACCACCTAAAGCCAAAATACCATGTTACTGTGCTAATTATTGCCATAGGCTTAATAATTGGTGTTACCTTGTTTTTGCTTCTTTCATTTATATTATGGAAGGTAGGTTTTCAGTATTTCTTAGTTGTTCTCAAGTCAGGAAGTCACACTGTTAGAGGATTTTTGGATATGTTAATGCAGGTTAAAGGATAAATAACATTTTATTATGATCTGTCCTTTCTAAAGATAATTCCTCCTGTAACTTGTGTTTTTTCAAAAGTACTTCTTCATTTTATCTTTGCATATTCTACATTTTCTGTTATTCAACACCACAAATCCTTTTACAGTGTCTTATATGACATCTCATGTTTGCAAATTATTTGTGTAATTTAATGATATCAAATGGATCATTTTTGTGGGATGGTGCTCCACATTTACTGTCACTTGACATGTGATGACTAATAATCTACAACATAGTTTAATACCAGAATAAAATGTTCAAGATTTCAAACTGCAATATAAATACTAAAAAAATTCTGTGCATAAGTAAAAGAGAAAACTATGAGAGATGCAGCTTCTCTGACAAGCGATTAAGAGATTGTTCACTTCTTTACCTACATAGAGATTTTCTTCATCCATCATTTTTTCATGGAAGTGTAGAAATTAAATTTAACAGGAAAGTTTTATTACTGTTTCACATTTTTAAAGATATTGGATTTTGTGGACTGTTACAATTCACAAGCCCCTATGTCCTTACTTCTTGCAGAAGAGCATTAGCCTCCCAAAAAGTAAAAAAAGAAAAAGCAAACCTACTTTTTTGATTGATGAGTAACACCTGATTACTTTGTATGACAGAGCAATGGCAAATACCATAATTCATAAATGCCATACCTATGCATTTTAATTTTCATTCATCTTTTATGGTTTAGATTTGATAACCAAGAGTTGCTGACAACAGATTCCAAAATTATGTATTTCAGATTGGCTTTTTCAAAAGGCAATACAAACCAGTCCCTCAAGACACAAACAGAAGAGACAGCTGGAGTTTTACAACTGGGAACAAAGATGACTAAGATGGCAAATAAACATTTGATTTTAAAATGAAGAAATTAAGATTCAGGTTAATTCACAGAAGAAATATCAGCAACAAGAAAACTAGGCCTTGAGCGCACTCGCTCTTACAAACACACTTTATTTCCTTGAACTGTATGGAGGACTACACCTTACAGTACTGTTGTTCTAATATGAAAGTGGAAAAACAGTTGGTTCTGAAGTCTCACAGTAGTATTTGAAATGCTATATATATATACATATGGTTTCAAACAGACAGAAGAACACTAAAGAGAAGAAAAATTACTTATTGGAAAGAAGTATTTCGAGAAAGTAATAATTTTTGGCCAATCCTGGAAAGTCAGATTTCAAGCACATTAGCATAAGTTATTCTAGTAATTTTGAAGTTTCAATAATATTTGGATTAGACATTCAAGAAGAAACCCTCTCTCATCTTGCTGTGGCAGTTTAACAAGGGTAAATTAGCTTCAACCAATAGAAGGACTGTAAGTAGAGCACACAGATGTAGAAAAGGGCTGTCAGAAGCTCTCTTGGGCTTCTGAAGGTAACCTCATAAGCTTTGGCTTCACAGGCACAGCCACATCATTGAAGAGACTTAGACACCCAGGCAAGCCAGAACCAGGAAGGTCAAGTGTTGATTCAGAGCAGGGAATTATGTGGGGTAGCCTGGATATCCAGCTGTACAGAGTAAAGTATTGTAGATCATAATTTGTTGCCATCTTTAACATGGTACTTGCAAACATGACAGAACTACTTGTTTCATCCTTTCCTCAGATAGTGCTGCCATGATGTTCTGGACTTTTCCAATTAATTATTTCTATGTGGGTTTTTTTTAAAGTAAGTATTTATTTTTATTTATTTAAAGATTTTTCTATAGTACTTATCCTAGTAGTATTTAGTGCTGGCATTCTTCCAGAACCTGAAAAAAATAAAAAGACTTCACCTGACAAAACAGAGACATGCATACCCAAGAGATGCCAACTGCCAACCTTAATGGGCCAAATTTTATCTTTAGATGTGCCAACCTTAACCTGAAAGTACTTAATAAGGAAGTCATTTGGAGAGCTAGCTTGGGTTCTTGTGAAGCTGTCAGATAAATACCCTCCAAACAGGCACCCTCAGCAGCCATGCAGCGGGAAGGCAAATGTCTGAACAGAAACATGGATCAAACCACTGCTCTGCTACTGCAGGAAGTTTCTTCAGCTAGCTAAGTTCGCACTGCCACCTAGCTTTGGTGAAATAGTACAATCCAGGGAAGAAAATGTTACTTTGCTCCCCAGTACAACTGGAGAATGTACAACTCCTTCGATCAGTTATTCCAGCAGCAATGTCCAGCATGGCCTTTCTGGCCCGGCCTTTGATGTCTTTCTGAACTGTAAGGAGAACTGTCTGTCATCTGTACATACACTTTGAAGCTGCACCATCATATAGGAAATTAGCCTGACAATCAAAAGCTACGCAGAGTGCCTTCAGCAAGCACTTCTGCTAATAGAGTGCTTGGTGCCATAAAAGCCACATTGTCTACAGATTCTAAAGGTAGTGGGGACCATTTTCTAATTTCCTTTCACTGCATTTGATGCCAAAGATGTGGATCACTCCAAAGTATGTTTTCCTCTAAAGCCTTCTACAGTGCAAGGACAAATGAATGTGCATATTTTTTTTTTTAAAGTCAAAATAAAGTATGTCAAGAATGAAATATATTCTTGCAAGTCTGAAAATGTATACAAAATGCTTATCTTCCATATGGCTTTAGTGAATTTTTGCACTTTAACCCAAAAACCTTTGAATAGAAATTAGTTTGACATTACTGTGAAAAATATACCTCAAATACTGGAAGAAGCATTAATGTTCTTTTGCATATAAACAATGCAAAGAAGTGAAACCAAAGCTTTTTATTTCTCTTTGAAACAGTTTACTTAAGTCAGTACATGAGATAATGTTGCCTTGCAAACTGTACACTTCCTGTTCAGATTTGATTGTTAACATGTAAACGTTGGCTTCCTGTTCCTAGGATATGAAGCAAAATTATGCTTTTATAAACCAAGTTGACAAAAAATGAATGTACAATGTCCTGATGGTGGGAAGATTATAAAGTATCATTTGATTTCATTTTATTAAAAAGAACCCAAAAAAGTTAAATGCATGAATGCTGTTTCTTCTGCAAGTTAAAATTATTTTGTTAATTTTCACTTATTTAATTACAGTTAAATCTACTAACTGTTGCTGGAATTGCCTTTTTAGACAACTTTAGGAAGATTAGCTTGAATTGTCAGCATCTTAAAAATATCTGATGGGATACAGCATTAATTTTAACTGGAGACTATTCACTGTGACTTAGACAACAGGTATCAGCTTGTTCTTAGGAGCTAATTCATCATCTGCAGTACTTTAGGTGCAGTACTTCTTTGTCTTGTGTATTTAGCACAGGTAAGAATTTTTCACAAGTAGTATTTAAAGTCATATAGTAGCTATAGATCTCTTGTAAAAGCTTAAGCCCTTGATTTAGCAACAACTTTAAAGGACTGGATTTCACATTATACTCAACTGCTTACTGAGGAAAGAACTTAAACCAACTCATTCTAGCCATGACAGTGCAGCTTTCATACCATTATTTGTCAGCTGCCTTCTGAACGATTCATAGATGACTGACCAGGAAAACATTTGTTATCCCCATGGTCCTGCAGACGGAAAAACATGTTGGTCTTCTACTTTTCATCATCTCAGAGAAAGCCAGTTCCCAGAAAGAATATAGTCTTAATTTGCTGTAAGTATTAAATAAGTTACCAAAAAACCACTCATAAAAATTATGTTTAGGGCCTATAAGGAAATTAGAAGAATTTAAGTCAACTCATAAGTTATTTATCATAATTTTATTCTCAGCAACACTGAAAACTATGCTGAATAAAATCTCAGTTCTAGGGTAGAGAAAATACTTATTTTGTACAAAGAGTAGTTTTTAAAATACACTTGAACAAAGAAAAGTTGTAAAGGATATGAGCATAGTCTTTTATATTATTTGCCTAGAAACATTTTGAAAGCAAATATATTAAGGCAACATTAAAAATCATAACTAGAAATAGAAGTACTGGATTAAAAAAATAAATACATAAATCTATATTTTGCCACCATTCTTCAGCATGGGGGGGTACCATACCTACCTTTGCCAGCTCTAGTTGAACTGAGTCATCTGACAACATGGATAGCAGCAGCAGACTTAAAAGTATTTCATACTAAAAAAATCTAGAATAACTGTAAAGAAAAAAAGATATTTTCTCCTACTCTGATGGACACTTCTCGAACCTCAAATTTGTAAGAGACCAATATAATCAATTTTCATTTTTTTCTTGTTAAGTCTAGCAGCTTCTATACAGTGAAATACAACCTGGTAAAAATATCCAACTTGATAAGAATTTAAAACCAGAAATACTACAAACATCCCAGTTAAGCTTCTGCTACAACAACTGACATCAGTGAGTGCAAGTCCAGCACCCTGGAAAACTTTGCATAGAGGTGAGAAAAGGATTCTTTATTACAGAACTTCCAGTGCGTCCCTTCTATATGCAGTTGCACGTTGCCTGGGAACTCTCCAGGTCATCAGTGTTCACTCCATAGAGATTAATAAGTTGAGGATGGACCCTGTGAAGTGAGGAAGTCAAACTTAATCAAACTTCATCAACTCTTGCAATGGGTGTGCTGCTTTTTGAGGTTGAACGGAAGAACAAATATGTATGAGCTACTATATGGAAATAAATCAGGGTGAATTACATTCTGACAATTCCTATAGGGTCATCTTTAGAACCATATATCCTATAACAAGATCTACCTTTTATTTTACATACCAGACTGTTACTCCAAGCTCTGTGCTTTCAACTAATCCTGCGTGCATTGCAGAAAAATGAGCTACTGCCCATTTCATTTCGCTGATAATCCACCTTTTTCCCTATGTATTTGTAATCTCTTTCCTAGATCCTAGATATGGAAACTATTCTCAAGCAGCATTAAGTTTCCACAATTGAAGAACTACGTGTTTTTCTTAACCTTACACATTCTGCTTTCTAACCACAACGGTACTATTCTAAGAGCACCTAATTTTGGTGTTATTTGTATTATATACAGAAGCAAGACATTTAAGATTGCAGCACTAATCTGTTAGAGGTATGTGGTCCCTACATGCAATATTTAACCTTACCGAACATGAACTTCTGATGCTTCTTTCATTAAATCTCCATCTATATTCCAGGGGTAATTTCCTTCTGCAGAAGCAGCATTCAGATCTGTATTTTCTTTGGCATCCACTCCACTTTTAAGCCTTGGTTGTACTTTTACTTCTTGAACTGTGTAGGTCTCAACAAAGGGAAAACTGAACTAAACCAAACACAGATATATATTAAATGAGGATGAAAGACAGAGGTGGTATCTTAGCAACAAACTGGATTACTTGAAATTAAAAAGCTGGAAAGCTAGCTTTTTTTTTTATCTTAAGTAAATGGGAACATTTAACTTGAGCTTTGACCACATGAGCCATTATATATTCCAGCTAGCATTTATATATTAATCTGGGGTTTTTTATCCTAAGTATTGCCTCATAAAAAACAGTACTGTTACATTTGCATTCCCATATTGGGCTCAATCAATCTACAGGTGAGGTGGTACATTTTGCACATGCCAAATACTTTCAGAAAATGTTTAAGCCCAAGCAGATTTTTTCCTGTGCTCTGCTCATCTTTACCAGTAATCTTGTCTGAAACCAGGCTAGTTAGAATTCTAGTAAATAGTCATCTTAAATGTGAAGTAGGGCCCACATCTCCTTGTCTGATTTCTAAACACAAAGGCAGAGAGAAAAGCAAGGCCTTCCTCCAAAAGCATAACTGAAAAGCTTAAACTATTTCCTATACTCAGCTGTTAGTGCTGTCACATGGAATTCTTATCCATCTCTCCCCCAAACTTTCTGACTCTTGATGAATTCAAACCCCAGCCTTCCTGTTAAAGTGATTTCACATAATCCTGGAATATTTGAATGAGTACCAGTGTGCTTAGGCTATCCAATGGGTCTTTATGACAGCAATAAGATCTGTGTTTGGACACTTCATTCTTCTCTTCAAAGACAGAATAATGACCACAATTCTGAAATGCAGTTCTGCAAACATTCATAACTAGGTGGAATGCATACCTGCTAAAAATCAATGCTCATAATCCACTGCTACCAGCACAGCATGCAGTGATCTGCTAAAATTATGAACTTTACCAATTTCTGACAGAGCTGCATGATGCCCCCTAGTCTGCGTTCTTGATCTCTGTACTACACAAAATTCTGACACAGCATGGATTTCCTTATTGTGGTGGAAGGGCTTTACACCCATGAAACTATGGTACTACACAAATACAATTTAAACCACAACAGATGGACTGAAATAGGCTAATCTGTATTAGTCTAGTGATTTAAAAAAAAAGAAAAAAACATCAGATAAAAAGGGGGCTAATGTATTCTGACAGAAAGCTAAGTCTCCTTATGAGGATGCTAACATTAACTCTTGCAGCCTGTCTACTTTTGTGATTAACTGTTCTTTTTATAATCACCAGAAATAAATTAACAGTACCTGATTTTTTACGCTGGTGTATCTCTTCAGGTGCTTTATAAACTCTGTTCGAGAAGTATTTTGTACAACAATAAGAGCCATGCTTCCATTATTCAACCTGAAAAGAAAACCAATTTAGTTTCCAAAAGGATATTCATTAATTTGGAAGTTTAACAGGCTCTTCAACAGTCTAGATTAAAAAGAAAATAAAAGAAAGCCAAAAAGAGTAAATTAATAGAATAGTGTCAATTTTTTTTTAACATCTTTTTGCCAAGCCCCAGCCATAGATCAATCTAAACTATACATTGGGGTTATTTATCAAATATATTTTTATCATACAGTGTAATAATAAAATTCTACTCCTTTATCAATATCCATAATTTATTGAACACAATAATATAATCTAAGAAAACCTTTTTTTTCTACTTAACAGATGGTTTTTAAACACTGGGGATCACAAATTTATGTTTTTACTTTTCTCTCCATTGAAACATAACAATTACCTAGAGTGCTACAAAGCAAAGCTTTACCAAGAAAACAATGCCACAGTGCCTGCAAGCACACCCCCATCATGTACCCCAGTGCAGATGGGTTCATTCACCCCCTCCACTAAACAGTCACACTGCCCTCACAAAGATTTTGATCTTCAACTGTGCCACTATGGAAACTCTCTTAGTAGTTCTTAGTACAGTTCTATTTACATATTTCACAAAGCACATAAAGTTAGACTAAGAGAATTTTGTACTAGATAAAACACTCACATACTAGACATTAAACAAGACAGGACCCTATAGTGCAGATGCTTAGTGGTTCTAGGCATCCAGTTACCATAGGTATTTTAGCATCTTTGAGAATTTGGGTCAGACAATGAGCCAGTATCAATTCACAGATTCTTTAATGTGTACTTTGAGACAAAACCTAACAACTCAAATCTCAATTCAATTGTGCCTACGTCCCATTTGAGTTATAGAGACAAATCAATGTTCAGCAAGAGTATCTGATGAACATGACAATCACTGATGAGACTATGTTCTGTACAGAAATGAAGTACTGCATATCTTATGAATATATATGAATACATATATTTATTTATCTATTTATCCAACATTTATCCATGGTTGGAAAATATCTTACAAGCATGTAAAAAAAAAAACTTCCAGCCAACCACCATGGATCTCTCCTCACTGACAGTTCTTTGGCTACTGAGCAACTACATCAGGAATGTTCTCAGACTACGATACAGCACTGCCTAGGAGGGTAACTTTTATAATTAAACAAGTCACCTAGCATAGGATTACTTTGCTGATTGAGAAAACAGTGATGGTGGCATTTAAAAAATTGCCTCCCTATCATATTTGTTTCAATAAAAGGGAGAGCAGGCTACTGAGCAATGCATTCAGCTCTGTGGCCTTTCATCTTCAAAAATGACTAAGAATTCCCATTAATTCTCTTGAAAGCCCAATCTGCAGTGAAGTGCAACACTGATGCTGTGAGAAACACGCATCCCACACAGCTCACACAGTGCACACAGTTAAATGTATCTTGACATGTTTCTGCAAATTTAGACCAGCGTAACTAGAGTTATAGGCAGCAGCCAAAGCTTTCATTCCACTTCAAGTGTCTTCACATGGCAGAAACTTCTTGGGGACATAGGAGAGAGAGAGAAGAAACCTAGTTGAGTTTCTTCTATAGTGGGTCTGGAGTCTCTAACAATTAGTGCAACATTGATGTTTCTCATATTGAAAAGACATACAGTCAATATGCTATTCACTGTGACAAGTGAAGCACCTGTTTGAAAAGTCTGCCCCTTCCTACCCTACTAGCTGACCTCACTCCTAAGATTATTTTTAAAAAGAGATGAAAGGACAATGGATGTCCTTATATGAAAAGACAGGGAGATCCACTAAGAAGCTACACTGGGAGAGAAACAAGCTCATTCAAACCTGCAATAATTGCATGGAGTCGTCACAAAATTCCATCATTGAGAAACAGGGGCCAGAACACATGGAAAGAGCAAGCAAAGCTAGAAGAAAATAATTTCTTCAATTCTTGTCAGAATTTTTCTGCTGACTGGTGTACAAATGCACTAAATGGAGAATAAAGTTCCTAAGAGGGGATAGCATCATGGCACTATCTGAAGAAGCATGAGGTTTAGCAGGATCCCAATAGCAAAGAAAACTTCTCAGTAAGAGTTTCATCATAAATATTTGTTTCTATATTGTTTCCAAGAAGTCAAAATCTACTGGTTGAGCCAGTAGTTTTGAAGAAAAACACCTCATCGATTCTTCTCTATTTTCACCTAATGATACTCAAATGAAACAAAACAGAATCATTCCATAAACTTTCCTGAGTGCTGGAGTTTTTTTGATAAACATACATGCCTTGACACACACACACAAGAGCAACTACAAAGCTTGTACTTGCTATTCTGCTTAATCGCCAATTGGATACATCAAGTTCAAATATTTATCACCTAATAACTGTTTGGGCCACCAAAAAGCACACCCCTCAACAGTGAGCTAAAGCCAAAATGAATCAACGTCAACAACCAGGTTACATACTCGTTTGTTTCCCAAAACACCCTGCATGAAGAAGCTGTATTTCTCAAGTTCAGAGGGAAAACAAAAAAAAACCAAAACAAAAACAATCACAAAAAAACCAAACAAACAACCTAACAACAGCAACAAAAACAAAAAAAACCCAAACCAAACAAAACAAAAAAACACAAGTGAATGTTAGTTCTTAATAGCACAGGGGAAAGACTCATATTTCATTTTTGCTGGCTGTAAAGCAGAAGATGAGGGGCACTTTTCTATTTGAAAAAATAAAATCCAAGAATGAAGTTTCCACATATAGCCAAATCCTATGATAGATGATTGCTCGATGACTACTTCTTAAGTCAGACTTGCCAACTAATTCACTCTCAGCAATTATCCACTCATTATTCTAGTTAGACTGCTTGACCTTATTTGCCTGATCCAAAAACTGATTACAATTCCTGGGATTATCGAGTCTGCTGCAGTCTATGCTCCCTCCCCCATTCCAGAGGGACTAGACTACCTAAACATAGGCTCATATTCTCGGAAAAGCCAAGGTCTTAAGGTAAGATGTCAGAATTTATAGACATGACTAATTCTCTAAACCCATACTGACCTCGTATTAGGTGCCAAGCCTCTTGGTGCCATTGAACACAGACAAGGGATTGCCATAATGCTCACATTCAGGAAGTGACCCTGAATTTTCTGCCATTGATCCTTGCTACCTAAATATAACAGAGTAATTCTATATTACTCCAGTTAATCAGCCACAGTTGGTTTTTAAATAGTCATAAAAGTAAACACTCACCTTTTTTTATTTTCTCTTTCTTCTTTCTAAAAGGGTGGAAACATTTAGGTAAAATAATAAAAGTAATTTTTGCACATTTAAACAATACATACTTTAGAAAAAAGTAACATATTAACGGAACAGAACAAATCAATACTACTGAGTGGAAGACTGCCTTGCAACAAATCCTCCAAAGTCTACAGGGAACACTTTACAACGTGTACAAGTTTGCAGTTGTCAAAATAAATATATATATATTTTTTTAAGATTGTTTTCACCTGCTGATTAAATTTGAACAAAATTAAGAAACGGTACAATTTTATCTTCAAAGACATATTTCTGTAGCTTTGGAATTGTTTGACTCAGTTTTACTTACCTGTCACTCTCATGAGACTCTTCCTGTGGAATTTGTAGAGGTAGAAATGATAATTCACATTCCTCTGGCCTAGAAAATATTTACTATCATGTAATATATTAAATATTAAATATTTACTATCATGTAAACCAATACTCTGACTGTTAGACTTTGATAAAAGTTAAGATGATTTTAAGACGATGTTGAATGTACAGAATTTATCATCTCTTTAACTTGTAAGAGGGATATACATCACATCTGACTTAAACCTGACTGCAATTAAGATAGCTAAACTACTGCTGCCTGTATTTTTATCACATTAATTATTGCATTTTCCTCAAGAAAATGAGAAATACTAGAAAAATATAACATCTCATGACATACCTGAGATCTGCCAGTGTTTTGATAAAAGCAAAATCCTTCCGCTGACTGGAGGGCATCCAACGGTGTTTTTCAGCCAAAGCCAGAGTCCTCGCACCAAAACCAAACATAGCTGAGAACCCAAACCTTAACAGCTTGCTTGGAGTACTGAAGGTACAGACATCTACTGCCTGAATATGTCCTAAAATTTCAAAGATAAAGAACAGAAATTAAAAATAGCATCTGTGTTGCACAAGAAATATAACTTAATATTTCTTTGCCACGTAATTTAGCTGGGAGAAAAAAATCTCCAGACTCTTCTCTCTTTAGGAAATCAAGTTTACTAATGGAAATCAGAATCAATCGAGATATAATTAAGACTCTATAAAAGTAGTCATTTCAGGTGCTTGAAAATGCTAAAGTTATGGTGAAAATTCAGCTATTCATAAGATTGCAAAGGGTCTGACTCTTAATTCTATTCATATTTTTAATAATTAGTATTAAAGAAAATGTAATATTGCTAATATTTGCATAAATATTTGCAACCATTTCACCAAATATCTGTAATGATTGAACATCCTACTGGAGGAAATATGGGCACTCAAACATAGGTTTCAAATGTATTCATGTTTACAGTTATAGAATATAAACATCTAATTCTCTTTAAGATAGGGTATATACGTTTTTTCTGTAATAGAACCTCGGAAGTTTCCATTAGATTGAGTGTTTCTGATTTTATAAAAAAGACAGTTTTAGATTTTGGCTGTAAAGACTTGTATATGACTATTTAAGAAATAGAGCACAGGCTCTTCCACTGCTGACTGCAAGGCCTAAAAAACAGATACTCAAGATGGACATGCCCCATTATTTTATTTTTTCATTAAAAAAAAAGTCCTAAAGAAAAATTGCTGTGCAAGCAATATTAACATTGCCTAAGTATTCGCTACTTCCTAAGACCCAAAAATAAGGTTTGCACTAGCAACTTAGCTTTTCCTTTTAGCATTTTCACATTCAAAACCCTATTTATTGTGCAGACCAAATGGCAAGTGAGACAGTTTTTTCTACTAATAAAGCTTTCTTATAAAGCTATTAGTATATAAAAGAACTGTACCTGGAGTTAAAAAGGTGAATGACACTTTCTCAGAAATATGAAAATACTTTCCTGAAAAGTCCAATCCTAATCACTTCCTCAAGTGTTTTCGGTGTTTTCATATTGTCTTCAGCAGGTACATTAAATTAAAATAATCCAACCAATCATTGCATAATAACATATACAGAGTAACACTATTCACACAGTCAAGTCTGGAAAAGGTTACTTTTTGCATGAAAAGAACATAAGCAATAGGACACGAACACCAAAATCAGACATTATTCCATGGCAGATTTTAGTCACCAGAAGATGAGGTCCACAGCCTTTGCTACTGAACTATACTCAAGGAATGATAACCTTTCCAGTCCACTATAAATCAGGATAGAGTCATTTGGGTTTAAAAGCCTTACAATATAGTTTACAGCAACAGAGGATAATGCTATGCCTTGACTGAATAACTGATTAGGGCAAACCTCTAGATGCTGCTTTATTATTTAAAATCTGACAATGTATGTAAAAATATTTACCCATTATGATGTGCAATGCTGCAGTCACCACATGCTTAATACCATAGAGCGTATGGGCCAAAATATTAGTAGTACCTGTGAAAGTGAACACAAACTGTTGTAAAAATATGAGACACACAGAATAACAAGAAAAAAAGAGAGAGCATTTTTAGTTACTGCATTTTCAAAAAAAAAAAAAAAACTTCCCCATAAATTGCATAGTCTTGTTAGCAGCAGAAATCCTTAATAGTATTAAATTAAAACCTTTAAAACTTCCAGAGGTCTATAAAATCTTCTCTGCAAATTCATTCATATGTGCCATAAAAACCAAGGGGGTTGAAACAAGCTTTACAAAAATTGCCTGTTTGGTGCCTGTCAAGGCACTTTACCTGTGTAAGAAACAGATATATATGTAAATTTTGCCCTTCTGCTTTAATGTCTAGGACATAAAATACTGTGTATCAGCTGACTTTTAAACATCAATTTATTTTTTAAATCCTGAAGAAGGAACAGTTATGTCTTTCCTAAATGGGTATAGTTTTAACAGAATTTAAAGTTGATTTTTGTCATCTCTTGCATTTCTTAGCCAAGCAGCAGAGCCTCCAGAAAAATAAAGAGGGCAGGGCCTGCCACCAAGCAGAATATTGACTTCTTCATATCATTGATTAAGGGATGAATAATTCAATGACAGTTTAATTAAAAGAACAAAAATTATAATAGAAGAATTTAGAACCTAACATTCCCATAAAGAAATGATCTCACATATGTTTTCAAATTATTTTCTGGTTGCTTGAATTCTTTAGTATGCTACAGAAGCAACAGAAAATTCTGGATGCTAAATCTGCCTTAAGTTTTATGGAAGCATTAAAACTTGTCTTTCAAAAGTAGGAGAGAGAGGAGAGGAAAAGGAAAGACTATCACATTCCAAACAAGAGGCACTCAATATTTAAATATACATTTTTAAAGCATCATGTACCAGATTGAAAAATTTCGTTTATCCCAAAACTCTGGTATCTTTGATGTCATGCTATTGATAGAAAAAAACCACCTAAATTTGCAAAGACTGATGTACATAATTTACAAAGCTCTAAACGTATCATGTCATTCTTATTCAGGAATATATCCTTTGATTTTTTTCAATAATTTCTCTCAATAAAAAAATATAAAATAACTGGAAACCTCAGTATCTCACAGATCCCCTGTTAAGTCCCTGAAGCATCTTAGTCTCTGAAGATAATGCAGAACTTTATGGAAAGCGGCCATAACATCAGAGAGAGGAGCTCTGAGTAAGGCTCTCAGGGGTCCTACTAAATAAAGGAAGTGAGGTACATCCTCAGTGAGGTAACAGACATCTAAAAGCTACAAAATCCCCTACATTTGACCTAAAAAGCAATTCTCCACAAAATACTACAAGTATATGCACAACACCATTTCATGTTTGAATGACTTCAGAGATTTAAGTTCTAGATCCAACCTGTTCTGCTCTGCCACGAAGCTGGCTAAAGATATAACTCAAAAATACTCAAGTATTTCCTTCAATCAAAATTTTACAACTCTTATCAACTGTTATGGGTATCTCTCCAAAACAAAGGAAATCACACACACAAGCAGCAGATCATCACAAGTCAGGTTAATCATGTTTATTTCCTGTACCTTGAAACAGGGAAGTTGTTATTCTGAAAAAAAAACATTTTCCTTGTCCCTGAAGATCAAGTTAATAAGAGAGCACAAGGCAGAATATACTTCTGAAGATCAGGCTTGGTACGTCTTAAAAGTTCAATTCCTCATTTAAGAGTAATTTATCAATACAGATGGCAGCAAGATAACAAATGACCACAGCTGAAGTCAGTACCAATCTTCATACTGACTTTAATGAGAGTTAAATCTCATTTCTACTAAACGGGATAGGCACAAGTAATTTCATCCTTCACTTAAATCTGTGGAGCTCATCAACATTTGCAGAAGTAAACAAAGCAAAATCCCACCCTTTCAGGACTCCTAGGAAGATAAAACAAGTTCTATCTGTGCTAAAAAACAAATACCACATCCATCCTTCTATAAACTGAAAATCTAGAACAAGCACCGTTTTGTCACATTCTCTAAAAACCCCTCTTAGTACATTCCTAACAGCATTTTTGATCCGAATAATGACTGAATAATGTGTCTCATTAACTAGGTCCTATACAAGCAGGATGGCAGACAACCCAAAATGAACAAGCAAAACAAAAACATGCAGTCTATAAACAAAGTGAAAACAAAAATAATACTACAAGCTTTTCTGATTTAGGTGGTGATTCAATAATAATGGTATTAATGCTATTATTCTTCCTCCCAAGTAAACTTTTTCTTCCCTATGTAAGCTCAAGCTATTATTTACCAATAACGAGACGGTTCCCTTGAACATTATCATATTACAACAGAGACTAACTTTGATGCCCTTGTATGGCTTGCACCCCTCACACATTAGTAACAGTCACATTTTCAGTTCTCACTCTAACTACTGAATTTACTATAAAAAGGTTTCATCCACACAATTCAAGCATTTCTGTCACCTGTATTTTTTTTGAACAGAAACAAAGAAGATTTTATTACTCAAAAAATACAACTGTTCAAAACATCAACCCATTTTCCTGACATTACAAACAACTTCCTACAACCTCCTTCCTACGAGATGTGTAATAAGCATCACAGTAAGGAACAAAGTATCTGCAGGTCATGTAAAGCATGGCTGATGAAGGCACCAAAGAGAAATTGTAGAGAAAAAAATTGCCCTTGGAAGTGCAAGCACTTCTGCAGTACAATTAACTTAATTAACCAGACGACATGAATATTCATAAGGCTGTTAATGTCTCCCCCATCCAAACAGATAAATGTGATGTAATGACTTCCTAGTCAAGCATAGCTAAAATTCCGTTGAAAACTGCACCAACATTTTGGTTCTTTGCCTGAAATATCACAGAAATTAACACTCCCTCAGTAATATTTTATTTTCTGAATTGGAAATCATGAATTTATCTAAATGAACCATTTTAGACCAAAAGGTTCACAGCCATCAGATATAGATTGTCTCTTGTTCTGTAACAACTGATAGCTTTTTTAATGTCCTTCCAACTCCCCCCTCCCTTCCTCCATTTCCCCCTCTGTACAGTTTCTTAGCAGTAGTTCCCATAGCAACAAACAGTCTTGCTAATGGCCAACAGTACAACTGCAGGCTTCCCCACATCTCGTCTATTTGATTTGGACCAGAATAAGGCAGCTCAGTAGAGTATTTTAGTAAGGACACACTCCCCTCTGAACCTTTCTCTTCAGGAGGTAAACTGCTTCAAGAGCATCTCCTTCCCATCAAGTTGACTGAAAGTTCAAATGCTGTCTCAACTACTTATAACAGAGGCTAAAACCAGATTTTTAAGCCACTCACATAACGCTATCCTGTAATACAGTTGTGTTTCTACTCAGCTGGGGAATCCTATTATTTCTGTACAATGGATTTCTGGTGGGGAAAAAAAATTAATTGACCGTTGAGTTCCATCTTCATGAGAAGAAGTACCACACTTACCTGTTTCCTAACTGACTACCTCGTGGATTATCAGCAATATGGAAATAAAATAAACAATAGATTATTTTTAAGAACTTATTAAGGAGTTTCTCACAATATAATTTTAGAAATTCTTCTCCTCCTTTTGTAACAAGCTGTACAGCATCCTTTTGGGTTTACAGGTCCTTTTTGATCATGACATATTTGTCTTAAACTGAAGAGAGTAAGCACTAATGATGAGACACAGTGACCTAAGCACAACATGGAGTCAAGTGCTGGAGAGATTCTCATCACCATCAAGATATTCACAGTAACTGAACAGTGATTCACATCACTGAAGTGATGGCCCAACTGCTGTACTCAAATTCATTAGCTTCATGTCTTTGAGATTGCTATCTCTTTTACAAATACATTTCCAAGGGTTTTTTAACTCGGAACAAAACTAATGTAATGTCACACTTTTACAAGCAACTAGTCCCTGTCTTCATGCTGCTTTTGTAAGTGCAAACCAAGTCAAAGCGCTTAAAATCTTGCTTGCTCAGTTCAAAGTGACTTGCTCCATTTTTTTGTAGAAAACAAAACAGCAATTTCCTGTTCAACTGGCTGCAGGAATTTTTTCCTTATTAATTAGAAACATCTGAGAAACTACATCAAGTAGTCACGTCAAACATCCACACCAGAGAGTACTGTCCATGCAAAAATGCCCCTTCTCTTTTCAAGGGAAGCGATTCATATACCAGGCCAGAATCAACTCTGTACTGATTTGTGCTGGTTTTGGCTGGGGTAGAGTTAACTTTCTTCCCAATGGCTACTATGAGACTGTGTTTTGGATTTGTGCTGAACACAGGGTTGAAAATACAGTGATGAGGTTTTTATTGCTGCAAGAGCCAAGGCCTTTCTGCTTTCCATACTGCCATGCTGGCAAGGAAGTTGGGGGTGCATGGGAGGCTGGAGAAGACACAGCCAGGCCAGGTGACTCAAACCAGCCAAAGCGATGTTCCAGAGCAAATGACATCATGCTCAGCATATAAAGTGGAGGGAATAAGCAGGAAGTGTGGGACATTTGGAATGATGGCATTTGTCTTCCCAAGTCACTGTTATGAGTGATGAGACCCTGCTCTCCTGGAGATCCTGAACACCTGCCTGCCCATGGGAAGCAGTGAATTAATTCCTTGTTTTGCTTTGCTTATATGCACAGCTTCTGCTTTACCTACTAAACTGTCTCTACCTCAATCCATGAGTTTTCCAATTCTCTCCCTGATACTGCTGGTGGGCAAGTGAGTGAGTGGCTGTGTGGGGCTTGGCTGCTGGCAGAGGTTAAACCATGACACAGTTCCAGCTAAAACCTTCCTGCCTGGGCCAAGTTATACTCCAATAAGGGCAAATACAAAAATTGTGAGGAGAAGGGACGTACAACCCCCCCAAAACCAACCAACCAACCAAAATCACACCACAAGATGTAAGCAAAAGTTAACAAAGGAGCAAAAGGGTTCTTCAAGAGAGAAGGAGAGATTTTCAGGTCTGTAAGAGTAAAGGAAAGAAAATGCAGGTTTTTTAGCACTTTTTTTTTAATATAATCCACAAACTGTTTTTCTGGGACATCATTTTAAAAGAGACCCTAAGCATGAATCCAAGAGAAAACCCTGCCAAGAAAACAGGAGAGATGCAAGAAAGAAAAATCTAGAAAACAAAGTTTTCATATGGTATCATTTCTCTCAGGAAATAAGGGCAAAACTTGATCTTTGCATGAATCAGCTGAAAATTATTTTATTCTTCCTCAGCTTCTTCCTTCAGGCAAAGAGCTCATCTGTGCCATTACTATAAATTATCATTACAATTTAAAATCTAGTCATTTGTAATCAATCTAAATCACTAATTTAGGACATTTATTCCCTTAAGTAACTGAAGCTTTAGCATCAAGAACTGCCTTCAGTAGCCAAAACTGTAAAACATGCCAGAGGGACTTAAAACAGATGACTAACAAAATGTAACAGTACCTTTTATTCTCACCTGCTGGTATTACTCCAAGAGGAACTGGTGCTCTAACAGGGTTTGATACATAATCTGTGTCTTTTCCAGCATCTATCTGGGCTCTAAGCAGTAGACCATGAGCAACTTCACTGACAGATCCATCCCCACCAACACAAACTACCCTGTTACAAAACCAAAAATATACAGTTCAAAATAAACTCTTTCATAGCTGAGCAAACAAGTGGAAGGCAGCTACTACACACCATATACATAATGATATTTCAAATAGTTAAAATCATTCTTTCAGAGCAAGCTCGGGCTTCATTGTCAGATCAGTGAATGTTACCTCATGAGATACGCATCCTTATTTCTGCTTTCAGTCTGAGTAGGAGTAAATATATTTAACAATTATCTTACCTTATCACACATTATGCTCGTAAACTGATCAGATGGAAGAACCAAACACAAGCTTAAGTGCCTCAGTGAAAAAGCTCTTTACATTTTTCAGTGCTGACCCACACTATCATTCTAATGCCTTTTAATTGCCCTTATAATAACAACTCACCAAACATTACAATAAAAAAAATAAAACAAAAAAATACTTGAAAACAGCTATTTTCACACACCGTGTAGGCAGTTAAGGGATTTAGCAAGGTATAAAATCCTAGTGCCAGCAATCCTTTGCATGAAGGTACTTAATCACTGCTTCTGGAGCACATAATTAAACTCCCACCTGCTGTGGCTATAGAGAGGAATGCATTTGTCTGTAAAAGCTCTGTTACAGCAAACCTTTTTTTTTCTTGTTTTTGTTTATTTAAATAGCTATTACAGTGATTCTCCAAATTATTAAACACATTTTAATGATAAAAATAGTAATAATACATTTCAAGCATTTGTAATATAAATGTCAGAGGCACTTTAGGAGGAACTCCCTTAAAATATAATTTTTCTGTATATCTATATGAATGCAATTGTACAACTACATCCAATAATTCAACCAGATAAAACTAGAAAGGTCTTTACAAGAAAATACTCATTATGTTATAAAATGTTTAAATTCAATTACCTCAGCTCCCTTATGTTCTTCTTCAGTTCCTATTATTATTTCCAAGGTGGTTTTTAATTTCTAATTTTCCTCTGTCTAGCTAAACACTGCCTACATTAACTTAAAAATAAAAAATAGAATATATAGCAAAAGTTTGAAGCACATTTTCTTCCTCCTCATAATCTGGAATCATTACCTGTCCTTTGACTCCTTTTTTGTTTATTCCTAGTCTTCAAAGTTTCTCCCACAGCAGCAAAAACAGTTAATTTTTGAAGTCTGATAAACTGTACACCTGGAAGGACTTACCTGATTGTCCTCTGGCTATTAAAACTTCAAAAACCAGACACATTTTGTTCTGATTTTGGAAAGCTGTGTTTGTTGGAGATAAAGAGTCCAAGGAATAACAAAAATGCTGATAATTTTGATTTTATTATTTTAGTATCGAGAGTTACCTTTTTGGCTGGAAAAAGAGATACCTGGGATTCCAAAGCTAATCAGTGAGAATCTGCTATGCATAAGGAGTAGAAAGTCTCAAGCAAACAGATTTCACTTGGACCACAAAGAAGGCTTCTTACAGGAAGAAACGTCTATCTTACCATCAGACACAACTTTCTCAATCAACTTATTTTCTATGTTCTGACTTAACCCAGGCTACTCTTATCCTTAATACCTTAGGTTCCAGATCAGGGAAGAAATATATGCATGTACATTGTCTATTTCTGTCACTGTACAAACAGGAAAACGCAGCTGAGATAGCAGCACCACAAATGCACTCTCTCTATTTGTCACCAAGGCTCAGCCACAAGACGAGGTAAAAAAAATACACTGCCATGTTGACAAAGTGCCAAAATTTCCAGTCTCCTTAAAAAAAAGTGGATAGTAAAAGAGGTGGAATATATAAGATGTATGACATGCCAACGGTCTCTGCAAAAAAAGTGGTAACTGGAGAAATTAGAGAAAAGAAATTATACATACAAACAACTTTGACAAAAAATTAACACATAGGAGTGTTGCTTACAGAAAGCACTGAGTTATGAACTTTCAATTTCCTACTGCAAATGGTAAGCTTCGATTTACTTCGTATGCTGTTTAACATGTAAGGAACCACAACTCTTAAAGAAAAAAAATCAAGCTCTGAAATTGCATGCCTCTATACAGCTTACCTACTGTCATGAATAAAAAAAAAACAACTGTCTTGCCCTTTCTATATTTTCACTTGAATTAGCTTTCTGTCTGTCTGAAATAAGCAACACTTGGCAAACACAAGCTGAGTTAGGGTGGCAGATCAATGCACACAGGCACAGCCTTCAGCCCACACCACTCCAGTTGCTTCCGAGCCTGGGCAAAACATGTAAGGTCTATGTGCAGACACAGCACAAAGACTACCTTACCTCTTACCACCACACACAGTGCCTAAAAGGAGGTACAGATGTGTCGTTCTAGAAAGGACAGGGATCTTTTCACCTCAGAAATCCTAGCATCGTATTGACTTAAGGGTTATATTCTTCCGGCTTCTTCTGCTCCTGTTTGCCCTTAGATCTGTCTTACAGGGGAGGTACTCCAGTGACTCTACCCAAAGTCAAAGATGAAACAATTCAAATATGGCTCAGTGTAGGAGATGTTTGTAAAGAACATACAATCCAGGCTTTCTTCTTTGTCTTCATATTCTTGCAAATACAGAGACTGCAAATTTCATGAAGCATATTTCAGAAAGATTTATGCTTATTTACCATTATTTATGAATCTAGAATATATACCTGTTGTCAGTAATTATTAAAAACCAAAGCATTTAATGAGAACCGATTTTCTCAGGTTTCATAGATATGAGAAACAGAATAACTTGTGAAATGCCTACTAGCATAGTTTTGATTGGAATACAAATAAAAAAATAACGTGACGAAGTTTACTAACATTCACAGTCACTAACCAACTTACCCATCAAATGCCTGGAGTTCACATTCTTTAAGTACTGAGAGAGCATGTCCTTCATATTGAGTTACTGTGGAAAAATATTAACTATCAGCAGATTAGATAATTTTATAGTGTTTTAAATTATTTTGCCCTTATAACATAAGGAACACAGAGTAATTAAATGATTTTAAAAAATAATGCTTTAAAAACTACATGAAGTTTTATTTTACACCAGCTAAAAGGAGAAACATTAAAACTCAACTGCCATCAGACACATGGCTATTTAGTGAATTTAAATTCTAACAATTTAAGATGTTTGTTGCACCAAAATGCAAGTTTTAGGATTGACACGGTAAACTTCAGGAAAAAAAAGCATATCCTCAGTAAAGACTGAATTATTTCAGGATCAATCAAATTTAATTGCCTTTGTGTTAGGATATGCAAATTGCTAAATCAAAAATATGAGGAGTTAAAGTCAGAAGTATGAAATCAAGCCAAATACCAGTGACAACAGAATATAACACACAGAGGAAGGTGGCACAAGTATACACCAGAGTTCATAGCCTCTGGAGGAAATGAATCTGTCACTCTACATTGATGTCTCTGTGTTTGCTGATACCCTATATAGCACTGTAAATGCCAGTGAAGACAGGATAAACTGGCATACTACAGATGGCACAAAGCATCATAACTACATTTAGCATTTTCTAGGGCAGCTTTGCCAGAAGAGACAGCCCAGCTGCAGCCACCCATCAAAGATTTTTGCTGACTGACATGACACTTGCAGATGGATTTTTTGTGTAAGAATGTGCATCATTATATGCAAAATTACATTAATCTTTCATGCTTGTCTGTCCCTAGTGCTTGCATAGTTCAAGGCTTTTCTCCAGTGTTTCTAAACAGTTAAAATTATTAGTCTTGGTGTCTAAAACAATCATTCCGTATCTGTACCTGTTCTAACAGTATTTCTACAGACTATTCAAATGCCGCTTACAAGAGCTGAAAATACCCCTCTCTCTCCTTATGTATACACACACACAAGTATGCTTGTATATATAGTGAGTGTATACACCTTTTTTCCTAAAAAATAAAAAGGAAAAAAAATCAAAACAAAAGTGATAAAATTTTTACACGTCACACTAAACAATTATGTATACAGACACACACATACACACACATATATATATACACATATATTACATAGAACTTCAAAATCCCCCAATTGGTATTAGCAAAGCTCTAGTGTTTGTTGTTTTGAAAATTTATAATTAAAAACTAGAGTTATTTTGATTATATCAAAGGCAAGGAATTATAATTTTGCTGCAGAAATACCTATCACTAAAATAACTCAGGAATTACTGACAGCAATTACTTTCATGTAGGGCCTCTTGGAAGATCAAAGCACAATATTTAAGCTACCATATTCAGTTTTGCATTACCAATAGGAACTATGCTTTTATCAATACCTGTAGACTGTGCAAAAAGTGACCAATAAAACTGCTCATCATGCAAAAATGCAGAAAGGTTCAAATATCTTACCATTGCTTAGCTGCGAAATAAATTCTTCCTACAAGAACATACAGTTGGTTACCAGGTTACATGCCTTTTTAAATGAACATGATGACATTTAGAAAGTTATGAGTACAGTCTAATTAAAATCGAATAGTAAATAAGATTTATTTTGTAACAGAAAACATGCTCAGTGCTTTCCTAATGTAAGTTATGCCTACTATTAGAAAATTAATTCACTCAAAGAACAAAGACATGAAAATAAAGAGGGCTCATGTCTATAGAGAAATCAATAAAGGCAGTAAAACTGACTAATGTTAGCCAGACTGATAGCAACTCCATCCTCTTTGCATCTAGTTGCTTAAGTTTGGAAATTAGGTACAAACACTATTGCAAGGCTTAAGATTGGGAAATTCCAAGAAATTTAAAATTTGATGAGGAAATGACAGAAGTACACAGCATCTATTTCAAAACATCATGACAAAAAGGCAATGAAAAAATGAGGTTTCCAGGAAAAACTTTGTGAGAACATGTGGAAAATCATCAAAAAAATCCAACACAGACATAAAAAGACCATGTCTAAAAAGTTTTCTGCAGGCTTGACAATCTCCAGATTGATAGCTGGAAAAGAAGCTAAATGTTCGAATATTTGGCCCTGTTCCAATTCAGGGGAAAAAAAACCCAAACAAACAAAAAACCCTACACAATATATTTTGATAAGAGGAAAAAGCTTCTTTCATCATTTGAGAAGGATCCAGATTACATATTTGGTAAAACTTATAAAATATTATTTAATGATTTTTCAACCACTTCTAATGCATAATTAAGAAAGTTTTTCTTTTTCAAGGACATTTTGTTCTTAAGTTTCAAGTAACAGCATTCTGAAGGAAGGACACCAATGGTGTACCGTATTTGAACAGTCACACATAATCCAAAACATTTTAACACCCTATCTCACATAGTGAGCAAGAACTAAGGGTTCTGCCTCTACATGTAGAAAAAGCAATATGCAATTAGTTCAACATTTCAAAACAGGGGATGCTTCCCTATGACACCTAAAAATGTTAGCACTCATGTCACAGACTGAAGTCAATATGATTAGAACTGCTAATGATAACTTTTTTTTCATCCAGCGTCAACATCAGTTCATCTGTTGTTATTTACTGCACAGTAAGTTTAAACCAATCCTATTTATCCAATTCTCAAACACTCCTTTTCCCTTTGTGATTCTGCCCTAAAAATGGGCAGGCTTACTTTTGCCTAAATGTCAGCTTGTAATTGTGCATAAACAGAAGCAAAAGAGTGAAAACTAGGATGACAAGTCATACAAGCTAGGATTCTGTCAGGGCTTCCTTTATTTATTTATTTATTATTATGTGTAAAATTTTACAAGATACTAATGTATTTCTAAAATATTGGCTCCAATTATCACTATTTGTCAATACTTGCAGGTATCTCAACAGTGGAGCGAGCTCTTGTTGAACTGAATTTTTGGAAGAGTCACTGTTCTTACCGTAGCAGCCATATCCCTGCTGTAGCACAAAAGATTGCCAAATTCTTAAAAGAATGCATAAAGGCCAGGTTTTAACTATTGTTTAGCCTTAGCTACAGTTAAAAGTACTGTTTCAGTTTAAATTTGCTAATTCCCACTTTCTAGTGCACTAAGCACTTCAGAGATTTGTTTATTGCATGTAACCAAAATAACCCAAAACCCAATCCACTCTGTAAGATGTTTGGTTACTTTTACTGAAATTAATACAGCTGTAGTGCATAAAGGAATTTGGTAAAAACACACAAACAAAAAAACCTACACCAGAGTTGAAGATAATTTGAAAAAGTAAACGTTACTTCAGAACTCACTTATTTACATACATGCCTTTTGATTGCTTTATGTCCTTGAGCAGGAGAGAATACTTCCACTCTAGACTCATAAATACATAAGTTTATTCCAAGAAGTTACAATGAAGAATAAGATCTGGCAAGCCTGATCATTGAGGAAGCCACATGTACAAGACTGCATGAGGAGAGCTCTGTCTTTCAGCACTCCACTGTCAACCTTCGATGGTTTGAGTTTTTTTTCAGTAACCTGCAAGTCTTGCATTCTGTATGCACAGGTTCAAATTTGCTATAAGGTTTTTGTGTACAATTAATTTCAAGCTTTAAATGTGTTTATGTGGAAAAGTCTAAATGTAAACTATTTTCAGTGTAAAAATTGTACAAAAAGCCTTCACAATTTCAGTATCTAATACACCATTGTACACCACCAGTTATCTAAATATTGGCCATAGTCCAAAAAAAGCAGGAACCGCAAGATACACACTCCAACTTCACATGATCCAAAACAATTATGGGAGGGAAAAACCCTGCTCAATTTACTTGAAATAAAGCACTCAATTTTATTATAAGAGGGTACCAGTGGACAGGGCTTTCACTCAGCACCCACCACCACTGCCTTTTTATTAAATATTTTGCTCCCTATTTTCTTAAATATTTAGTTCTCTATTAGCACTGAAAACTGTAATGCAGTTTTCTCATTTTGCCTGTAGGAGGAGTGTTAGGCAGCTAATCAGCACAATTGTATTTCATCATTGCCAAAAAAAACTTATTTAAAGGATAAGCCATTAAACATTTTTCTAGCTAAACCCAGAAGTTTCCTTTCAAAATTTAAAATAGAAATAATTTAAAAAATAAATTTTAAACTGTTTCTCTTCAATTAGGAAAAATGTTTTTAAACCCACTACAAATTATATTCATAGCTTACATTAAAACTGTTTTTAAAGTATTGTGACTAAACAAGGCTAAATTCAATTTCTAAGACAACAGCATTATTATTAATCTGTTCACACTACCATCCATGCCTTGCAGGTGAAAAATATGCCTGTGAGAATCAAAACTTATATAAAGCTGCTGGCATTCCCTTCTCAATTAAGGGATGTTAAGAAATTATCCCTACAGAATTCTAATACAGACAATCTTTTTCACATTTATTTTAATGTGCCTTTAATCTTCAATTGATTTTACTTTAAATTGTGGGCTAAATAATTAAAAAATACAAAGATACAGGTAATAAAATTAGCAAGAGAAATCCTATGTACAAACACTTATTGCATTATTATATCCTCATGCCTAAACTAGATTTTCTCAGAATAATTTCTGGCCTGCAACCAGAACTAGTCATCATTTCAAAAGAAGTTTAAGAAACAACTTCAGAATGTTGTCTTATAATTTATTCTTATAATTTATTCTGTCTTATAATTTATTTAAGCGGGAACTAATTTTTTTTTTCAAGTCAATTACAACAAACATAGGAAAAAAACTTTTTGGTGTTAAACTGTCTTGCACCAGAATTTATATTTCACATGAATATGAAATGCATAACCAAGATATAGCAGTGTATTAAAGGTAAATGTAATACTATGGATTAAAAATTGTGATTGCAAAATTCTCTGTAAATTTAGGTGGTTTGGGGGACGAAATTTGATGCAGCATAAGTTTTGGCCTGTTCATAGAAGGGAGCAAAAGTAATGATCAGATGACTAATATTTTACTGGTTTAAGAAAACTCCTTATTTCCCTGTTCAGTTTCTTAAAAAAAGTCAAATCAAACAAAACAGCCAAAGGGCAATTTCAGGACACAAAGCAGAACTCTGGCACAAATTGGGGCCTTAAATCCACACCTGCTATCAGGAACCCATTGTTGAGCAAAAGGCAGCATCACTACAACATTATGGTTGTAACTTTTCATTATCCAGACACCAAGTCATGCCCATGTGCCTCGTGAGAACTGCCCTTGTCATCACAGAATGTAGTCACTTAGGCTTCCCTGAAACCGAGTCAGAACCCAGAAATACTGTGTCCTTCCGATTAGCCCCTCTTATATGTCAGGCCAATAGACGTTCTCCGAAGAGAACGTTTAAGGTCATGTGTTTGTCAGAATGCAGGAGCAACTCTTAGCAAGCATATATAAGACTGTCAGACATTAAATGCTTGTTTGTTTATATAGCATGCTTACTTTAAAAAATACCAATTATGTATTACTTAGTATTGATTGCTACAGGTGAAAAATATTCAATTAATAACAGAACTTCAAAAACATTTTTTACTAGAGTTCTGAATGCATTACTTGCAGGCAAAGCCAATAAGGATTAGGAGTAAATTTAAATTGTCTTGTATGCTTAAGTTCTAGTTTCACAAAGGATTAATTATGCTTTTGAAGCAACTTACCAGTGATATCAGTTTTTATGTCAGCAAGCTTAAAAAGAGGTGCAACTTGTTCATAATAAACATGAGTGGCTTCTCTTTTGTGGCTGCTTGGATTAACAAACACTTTTAAGGATTTTGGTCTGTTTTGAAAGCCTTAAAAGAAAAACACAAAATATTTAAGATTACATACAGCCCAACTATTTTTACAGCTTAAATGAATTTCTGATATTAGAATCATTAAAATACTTTAACAGGATAAGTAAATTACAGCTTAAAAAATGTTTCAATTACTTCTTGGATGTGCATTATTTATCTCTAAATTACAGTACTGATTACTTTTGTGTGTACAGCTAATAAACAGTTGTAGGAACCAGAAAAAAAAGTCTATGTCATAACCTAGTTAAATCCTGATACAGGAATAGAAGGAATGTGGAGAAGTTCTAAGCTTGGGCAACAAAAAACAAAAGAAACCCAAACACCAAAACATATCCTCGTTGGAATATAATATGACACCCTCCCGGCAGGCACATGGAAAAAAAACACCCAGTAAAACTGATACTACAATACGATACTTTTGTTTTCTGAGACTGCAAATCAAATAGTGCAAACAAAATTCCCTCACCTTGAAGGAGGTCCAAAGAAATAGAAAGAAAATATAAAAATTGGCAATATCATTCAGAAATTCGATAATTATTGTTCATTTTATTTTTTAAACATTTCTATCTTCGAAGTAATGAACTCCAAGGAAACAACACTGAGAAATAATGCTATACAAGCTGTACCTTGTCTTGCACATTGATCCCATGAAGTAATTTTATTCTTTGAAATACAGCATTCTGTTGAATAATAAATAACTCATACTAAACAAATAACATTACTTTTCAAGTTCTCTTCTCTAGAATTCCTAAAATTGCCATGGTTCAGTGAGGTTGCTTTGCTACAAAAAGCAAGCAGTAGCATGCAATACTGCTGTTGTTTTGGTAATTATTTAAAATATATGATTTAAACAATTCTAGTTCTTATTTTAGCATCAGGTGAGACTATCACTTTCTTAACCAAATAAAAGCTAGAATATCTGGCAAGTGTACGGTTTTCAACATTCAAGAATAAAATTAGTAGTAGGCCACAACTCCAAAAGAAGCCAAGTGTGAAACCACATTTTCCTGGCCCATGAAGAGTATTACTTCAATTTTTACAGCCATGTGTACCGTCAGAGTATCAGCTGGGACTTTCTGAAGCTCCTTCCACTTACTTTCCCTCAACAATTGAACAGGAACAATTCCTCAAAAAATTATAGCTAAATACTATTTCATCATTAAAGGGGAAAGATTTTCCTTAAGACCAAAATGTAACAATTATAAAAAGTACTGTAGATTATTTTTATTTATTTAAACACATCAAATAATCTGGAAATGAAAACTAGTACTTTATCCAGTTTGTGTTTGCAAATTTAGATGATTTCTTAAAGATACTGAAAGAAATTATTGGATCCATTTGCTGCTATAAACCCAAATGCATACTCAAAAAAATTTTATAACTATATTTATGTCAAAATGTTACACACAGTGACGAGTCATTGCACAGCAAACCAATCCTGAGGAATCCTTAATGCCTGAGGAATCCTGCATGTCTTCAGCACAAGCCTTAAAAAGTATCCCCTTCAAAAAGGAGAAAAAAAAATGGAAAGAAAAGTAACTTGGTGAGGACTGCGGATGTGTTGGAGGGCAGGGCGGCTGTTCACAAGGACCTTGATTAACTAGAAGAAAGGTCTGACAAAGTCTGAAGATGTTCAATAAAGACAAACACAGTTCAGCACCTGGCCTGGCAAAACCCTATGAATTGCGGGGGTTGGGGACGGACCAACCACTCAGCACCTCTTCAGAGACAATCGGCAGCTCGTGACGGACAAGGAGCTGAGCATGAGTAAGCAGTGTGACCTTGATGCAGTGAAGTCCAAGTGCTTACTGGGTTGCAGTAAAAAGAGGACAACCAGCAGTCCAAAGAATATCACTATGCCCTTGTTTTCGACATCTTTCGAGCCTGAAGTTCAAAAACTGCATCCATTTTCAGGGCCCCCAGCACAAGACTGATGAAGTGGAGAGGGTCCAATGGAGAACCGTGACTACAACGAGGGAACAGGCCACAGACGAGAGTCGGCGGTAGCTGACTCGTACAGCCTTAAGAGCAGAATACACCTAAATGCTTGCCTTAAGTATCTACTGCAGGAGTACAAAGACCACCAATTCAGATCTCTTGCAGGTGCAAGGACAAAAACACGATGGACACAAGTTGCACAAGGAATATTCCAATGTGAAATAAAGAACAACACTCTTCACAATGAGGGCAGTTACGCCATGGATGACATTGTCCATCCTCAGAGATTTTTAAAACTTACCTGGACATGGCTCTTAGCAACCTGATCTCTCTTAGAAGCTCACCTGCCCTGAGCAGGAAGCTAGAATGGATTATCTCCAGAGGTCCGTTTCAACTTAAATTATTCCTGATTCTCTGGAAACAGAAACAAGCACTGCAGCTATGTACTGCGGTGCAACTTCTAATCACAGGAATTACAACACAAACAAGGAAGACTACAGAAAACTTTCCAAGGACTATTAATACATATAAATCATCATTATAAAGATATTATAATAATGTCTTAATTGAAATACGCTATCTGGTATTATTGCAGTGTTTTAGAAGCTATAAAAATATTAAGACCAAAAAAATAATTTCTATGACTTGATAATTTGCCTAAAGTATCAACAGAAATTAAATTGAAAAGTACAAGAATAAGGACTCCTGATTTAAAAGAGTAAAGATTTAGCCACATTCATAAATGTGTTGTCATGCTTTTTATCTTCTTTACAGGAACTCCTACCTGGGACAGCTGGTCCTAAATGCTCAACCCCCACCAAACCCAGAGCCACAAAACTCTAAAAACTGATTTCTAAGTATACCTTTAAACTTAAAAAAAAACCACCAAAAACTCTGCTGTAATATAAGACACAAAGCAGAGGGAATAAGAAAGTATAGTTTATAGAATCAGAGAAAGGTGATGAAGTGTCATAAATTGTCACCCAGACAATGCAAGTCACAACACTGCTTAACAGTCATTAGGAGAAAACTGAAGGGAAAAAAGCAAACATCACTATCTCACCTCCATGTTTTTGAGTTTCAGGTGTATAAATTTAAGGCCTGGGTAGCAATATACAGGTTTAAAAGAAATCCTAAGCATGGAAAAGAATATAGGCTTCTCAACTGGTGAAAAAAATTTCTACGTTTTTAAGGAAACAGTTGAACTTCATTTTTTTAAAACAAAAATTGGTTTATTAAATGATTCTAAATCAGAAACTGTATTTATGATTGTGTATATTAGGCTATTGCTGAAAAGTAGATCAGAGTTGACATAAATCCTAGTGAGATTTTTAAGAACCAAATGAATTCACAAGGTAAAAGTATTGGAATATTCTCTTTATGACTACTTGAATATCAATTTACTTTTTTGGAGAGGTAAAATATTTCATTTCCAGAAACAGGTATCATAAATAAGGCTTTTGAGCAGAGCTGGTACACTACTGATGTGGTTTTGTTTGTGCCAAATAAATGCCAACTGACATGAAAGGATGATCGTGACAAAAATAATTACTTTATCATTCCCAGCATGCACTGGACAGGTTATAACACACCAAACAACCAAGTTTAATGAAGAATATCCAGTAACAGTCAAAGATTAAACTTTCAGACAATATTATTGTGAAACTTCTTTAAAAGTATTTTAAAATAATAATCTTTTAATTGTCTTTAAACAACATCTCTATGAATGAATCAATGTCATTGACTACAGCGTGCAACTGAATCCAGTCTGCCAGCCTTTTGGTGTTCTCCTAACTGGTATTCTGTTATTGTTTTCTGTGGCTGCTCCGTTTGAAATGAACCAGCAGCCTAAAGCAGGAAGGCCAACTGTTCCTCTAGTACTAACAAATGTGCTAATATGCACTAGTTTAAACTTGATCTATCAAGTGAATCAGTGAACCATGAAGGGTGGTGGGTCAATCAGGGTGTTCTGAAAACAAAGGCTCATAGGGCAGCAGAGACGCTGTGCTCAGACATACATCTGTGCTGCTTTCAGTCCTTAGCTTTATGAAAATGGGTTTATGTTACAAAAGTTAAGAGCCTGGAATCATGTCATTACTGCCTACATTTATAAACACTTTATACAACATTAAGAATATTATACATGAGAAAAACTAATAACATGAGACGCATTTGTTAATGTAACTATGGAGATACCACTGTTAATATTAACTAACCAAAGTTAATGTTTAACATTAATGGTTTAATTAAAACTTCATGCATGAAGTTTCAGGCATTCATATCAAATCCCAGTACGATACTACAGAATAGTAGATAAAAATACAAAAGCACTTCATGTCTTTTTTGCTGCTTTATCATTTATTCTTAATCACATTTACTGTATTCTGCTAGTTTACGGATTTTTTAAGTACAACATTTTCAAAACAACTGTTAATGAAAGTGTTATTTTGTTAAAAACTTCCCAAAAAATGGATGAGCATTGACAATTGAGCATTTTCTCTTATTTCTGAGCCTGCCTTAACCCTTTAAAAAATACTGCGCATTTGCATGCACCAAGGATTTTAGATTAAACAGTGAATTCTACTAACACAGTATGTCCCTACTGAACCTGCCATAAGTCCTGTACAAAAAGATGTGACATATAAATGGAAATCACTGAGAGTCAGGTGTGTAACAGGACTGACAGGAGATCAACAGCACATTACAGTCTGTCTAGGCTGCTCTTTGGGGCCTTCCAGAAGCAGTCCAGAACTGATGTTCCACAGGTGCATTAAGATGGCACCTTACATATTAAGATGGTTACCTTACATCAGTTTAACAAATACATGGTGTACAGAAGATCAGTTTTCAGGAACACCATATCACTGAGCAGGCCCTTCATATCCAGCTGGCATGCATTTGAACAGCAGCAACATTAGGTAGAAAATAAAATTTATTTAAAAGTGGGAAGATGGTGGTACATATACTTTGTTACCCTGTCACACACACAAAAAAAACCCATAATAGGAACCACTGGAACTAAATTCTAAACAATTATGTCTTTGTGTGCTTACTCCTATGATGACAGGCTTCATAAAAAATTATAGCCTAGTCAAACTTTAAATTTAAGTACTCTGAACACAAAGTCAAATCAACAGAGGACACTCGCTATGAAGAGAGTAAGAAAGAACAGGGAAAAAACATGTATGAAACATTCATGCCAGACAAATCACACAGTAAAAGAGAAGTTGTGTACATGAAATTTCAGAAAAAAAATGAAATCTTCATTAGAAGATCGGAAATCATCATTAGAAACGTCCAGATAAAACTCTAGCTCATATCATCACTGATAAACTTTCTATTGTTGTTCCTTAATTAATGTATATGCATAAAAATATAAAAAATTCTTGCCAAAGAGTAAGGTAAACAAATAGAAATTGCATTTATCTTCAGAGGAAACACACCTGTCAGTCACATGTACACTCATTTGTCAGAATGTCTAAGTATTGCTGACAGACATACTGAAACATATATATGTTTTACTTTGGTAAATCACCTCCTTTTCATTTGCTCCAGCCCAGAAACAATAAAAAATCCCTCCAAGTAAATAATGCAGCAGTTAATGAAAAATTACTTCGGGATCAGATAGATTTAGTCCAGACTTAAATCCTACTGGGAACTTCCCACCAATGTTTGGTATATTTTAATTCAGAAGACTTTTTTTCTGAATTATACCATAACTATACCATTACTGTTTGAATTACTGATAATGGGCCTGTGCCACACTGACTGCATAAATATTGCTGCTTTTTTGGTGATTTTACTAATAGGAAGGCAGTCTATCTAGCCAGAATGTAACAGTATGAAAATTACTTTTATTGTAATTATAGAACTTAGAATAATATACACATTAGCCAATGATATTTGGGGGGGTGGTTGTCTGATTATTTTTTTCCCCTCCGAGTCTCATTATTCCTGAGGTAGAGGGCAAGTAGAAAAAAATATACTGATCAGACATCAAAAAAAATCAGCACAAGGTTTGAGCTTCTGGAGAAAGACTGAAGCTGAAGGAACAACTTGAAACAGCAACATTACACAGAATACTTTTTTCAGGTTCAGGTGGAACAGCTTCCAATTACAAAGCTATAAAACAGAGACTTCACCTTGAGGTCAAAGCAACCTGAGCAGAGATACTGCAGGTTTTTTTCTGTGAACATATGGTATCACTGCTCCTGATAGATGGAGGGTAATCTGGGAACAAAACAGACATTTGCTCCTTATGCAAATGTCCTTGCCTTTATGGGTAGCTGGAGATCTGCAGGAATCTTGGCACTTCTGCAGATTTAGATATTTCACAAGAAAGTCTTTCAAAAAGGAAGACTTTTTAATAACATATTCATTTGAAAAATCCAAAGTATACTGTAAACAAACAATGTAAGAATGCATTGTTAATAACTCATGTTGTACCTCTAATATCTGCTTTGACACTTTAAAGTCATTTTACTAGAAGTACACTATAAATTGTTACTGAAAGTGTTGTTACAAGCACTACAGATGTACAAGATTTGAATTCTGTAATCTGCATGAGTCTTAACAATTCACCTGGAGTTTTAATAGTCTATTACAAGATGGACTGTTTTTCTTCTGTTCTAAACAAACTCATTTGCTATAATCTGTAAACAGAGGCATGTTTTGGAGCTAAATCAGAGTATGGTATGGTGAAGGAAGTGTTGTTTTGGGTTTTTTAATCAAAAGTGTGCTATATTATGTGTTTTTCCAATATAAACTAGAGTAAAGGGCTTGGATTTCTTGTGGGGATCTTTTCCCTAAACAGTGAATAATTTTTCTTAAATTGGATACCTCTTCCATAAAAAAATAAAACTATAATGTGTAAAACAAAGCATCCTGAAATGGGCACTAGCCTAGACAAACACAGAAAGATATTTTTAAAGTAAAGAATTGCCTCTCATCACTAGCTAGTGTCAATACACTTTGTATCAAATTATACAAGAGTCCTACAGAACCTTAAGAGCACTGCCACCTGTGAATTTATGCAGGTGAGGAAAGTCTCTTCCATTAGTCTCTTAAAGAATCTGCAGGTCTCAAGTGGGAGCTCCTAAATAGTCACCAAAACACCCCGAAGAGTTCCCAGAACTGCAACTATTGTAGTAGTAATGCAATTTCAAGTGAAAATATCAACAAAATATTTTATTTCTTTCAGAAACAGATTTCCCAGAAGACTCTTCAGTCAGAATAAACTACTTATTTACAGTATCTTTCAAAACACTTCCAAAAAATAGCATCAATTTGTTTCATTTTTACAGATAGTCAATTATTGTCACTTCCCTAAATTTTACACTTCACCGTGCAAAATTTCAGTACTAAACATTTGCCAGAAACAACATTCATATCTGCATGTCTTAATTTCCACAGGCAAAATGTTTCTAAGCTTCATTCAGCCTCATGTATTGCCAATAGAAATAACATCAACCCCAATCAAATGCTTACCGTTCAAAATTTCCTTCAGATGTCTAAACCATGATTGACAATGATCTTCACTTAAGTTATTTAAATGGATAGCACAGTCTGTTAGTTTATTCTCTTCTTTATTCAAGCATTTAAAAACTGTGATACCCAACAAAGTGCCACCTTTTGTCTGGCCTGCAAAACGACGTCGTTTCAGTTTTACTGAAAATACATCTTTCATTTCAATAATCTCCTCTTGAGCCTGTAAAACCATACTGGAATCATCTGTAAGGGAGGAAAAAAGAAAAGCATTGGCAATATGATTAGGAGTACACATATTAAAAAAATATTGTTATGGCTTCATCTCTAGCTTCACTTGTTGCATCTGTTCATGCTTGTATTGAAACTTGTTGCATAGCATTTGTCTCAGTCACAGGTCTTATATTTTACCAACTCTCTGTTATGTATCCAGCTATACAAATAACACAATATCAAAGAGATTGTTTAATCAGTTTTCTGATGTTTAAAAAAATTAATAACATTGCAGACTCTAAAAACAGCAAATGACTTTTTTTTGTATTTGCATTCAAGAAGCAAAGTCTTTATTGTACTATCCTAAATCACAGCAATCATGGCTGTTGTATACTCCTCAATCATAGATCAGAAATTGTGCTGTGATTCAAGCTCACTGTATTATTTCATTTGAAACAACCACTGCATTTTGGGTTTACACTAGAAACGTATCAGAAAACAGTTAAGCAAAAATAGAGAAATAAACCAGAATTTTGTTTTTGAGTTATGAATTTACCTTAGAAGACAAGAAAAACAGTTTCAAAAAAGTTCTTGTAACAGCTCAAGATCCTCACCCCTAGGGGAGATTTGTGTTAGGCTAAGTGAAGGTTTTTATTATCTTAGGGCTGTTATATATACATGGACACTATGGCTGCAGACACTATCACTTCACTTCCAAATGCCTTTTGGAAAGGTATCAACTGAACCACTATGGTACAGGCTTCTCCTTTTTCTGCTCTCTTGAGCTGCAAAACACCTGATTCCTCAAAACACGAAGTCAAATACACAAACTGAAGGAAAAATGTCACTGCTCCTGTAGGTGCCAGATACTCTGGACACAGAAAGAAAAGGTTCCCCACTTTCTTTGTTATAACAGCAGATCTGATACACTATCCAACAAAGGTCCCTTTGCAGCCCAAGGCAAGAAAGGCTAGAAACCAGAAACCTTTCCCAAATCTAGCAACAGCTCTGTCAACTGGTTTCTCAACAGCAAAAGCCGTAACAGATTTGGTTTGATGCATAGTTGCTACATGCCGTACTAAAGTGCCAGAAAAAGTGCATTTTAACCGCCATCCTGGGAAAGATGGACAGCACCACCTACTTCATTACACCACATGAAGCTGAGGGTTTCACCAAGTCATATGTCTTCTGGGCAGGAAAAAAGAAGACTGTGTCAATTCTTGTAACAGTTTTGTGCTGGCATTTCTCAACATCATTTCTTGAACGAGACTATGCAGTGATTATCCTTCTATCCACAAATCCTGGAGGACTGCACCTCAGCCATGCTAACACAGCTAAAGCTCAAATCAGTATTACCTCTCCTCACAATTCTCAACCAATTCATTTTTTCCTGTTCCATACCAAATAATAATAATTATTATTATTATATTATTTATTATTATATTTTAACATCATAATTTCTCCATAAGTCAGTTACTAAGGTGTAAAATTGCACTGAAATCATTTCATTCTTAGCAGGAATACTGTGACAAGTAAATGTTCATGTGCACTGAGATAATACACAAGAAATTGTAGTGCAAATTTTCAGAAGTACACAGCAAATAAACAGGAGGAAACTCACCTAACAATTAAAAAACAAAACAAAACAAAACAACACATCTTAAAGTACTGTAATGATTGCTGTAGAAGTATTTCCTATAGGATACATTGAATGGAATCAGGGAACTGAGTGGGGGAATATTGTGTGATTCCATTTAACTATGATTTTCCATAGTCTCAAAGCAGACATTGTACAAGTAAATTTGGTACTAACTTTACCAAAGCCAAGATCTTCTAAAACATTTAGGGGTAAACAGTCTTGGTAGGTCTTAAAGGAAAGATTGACTGGTGATATCCCAAATCACTTACCTAGGACTTCACAGTTTATTATCTTTATTAAACACTTGTTTTAATTTTTAAAACAGCATTTTTGAGGGGTCTGCTTATTTTTTTCTAGAAAGTCTCACTGTCAGACATACAGCATACTGAAAATTCCAGCATACAAACTCAATGTTTTAGGAAAATGAGTAAACAAAGACACATGAAATATAACCACAATCATTCTGTAGAAGTAACTGAGCTGCAGCATTTATTTCCCCAGACCAATACAAATATTCTAAAGTACTTTGCTTGTTAAATACTTTTAAATATTGTAGCACTTAGTGCCGTGGTCTAGTAACCACAGCAGCAGTGGATCAAGGGTTGGACTTGATGATCTCAGAGGTCCTTTCCAACCCGGTTGATTCTATGAAATAAATAATATTTTTAAATAAATATTATTTTTGATTAAACTATTAGTTTTGCGGAGAATATCACAAATTCTAGTATGCCAACGTTATGGATGGACATCACAGATAAATGACAAACATTAGACTATTTGTCCTCCACAAGTCAAGTAAATTGAAGGCCTGTTAAAATACTTTTTTATTCCCCACTAGTTTTCATAAAATGATATTTAGTCATAAGCTAGATAAGATCTGCCTTGTCTTTTCATGATACTATTTCAGTCAGTTACTTACTTGTTTTTACATCTTCGTCTTACTGTGTATTTATCAAATTTTTGTGTTGCTCACATGCAGGTTAAACCTTTTGAAATTTAAAATAATACATTCTTACTAGGCAGCACTACACTTACAAAACCAGTATCTGACTCTGGTTGTTTTACTGGAATACAATTCCAGATGCAGCTCAGAGTAACATATTAACTGTAGGAATACTGAATCGTACAAAACCATCACCCCTAAGTTTTAATTTGTAGAGGAAATGTTGAACTAGCTGGTAGGATCAGGACAGCCAATTGTTATTAAAGTTGTTAAGAAATCTGCATAAAATCCCAGGCATATTCTATAATTTTCATATTCTATGCTTACTGAAAATAAGATAATTGCAAATACAGTAAAATTTTATTTAAAAATTCAGATAAAGAATTTATACCTTATAGAGTCATATTGATAAAGTACTTCTACTGTGTGATAACAATGAAGTTTACTTTCAAAATAAAGTGTGTACTGGATTACATACTTTTTTTAAACTTTGAAAACCCTATTGGTTTGTTAGTATGATATTGGTTATTGCCAGCAGTTTCAGGACATTAACTGTCCTCTCACATTACTTAGAAAGATATTGGGTACCATCTGTTCTTGCAAGAGATTTAAGTATACATCTATTAGATATCATGCTATTTATTTAATTCAGTACCCACTTCCCATTGTTGTATCTTCTGAAAAAAAGTCAATTTAATTACAAGGAATAAAGATAATCTCTTCTACCAGGCCGCCCTGTCATCATGAAAGCAGAGAGGGAACCTGTATAAAGTAGGTTACAGGCGTTAGGAAAGAGAAAAACTAACAGCACTTAACATTTAAAAGATCTAACAAAACCAGAATATACGGCACTTAAAAAAGAAATTACTATAAGCCAAGGGCTTGTCTAAATCAATCTCTGCACATCTGTCTGATGTAGAGCGTAAACAGGATTAGAGGTGGATTTATCTGCTTGACGCTAATTGTACTCACAGTTTCTGCACATGTCCACTTTTTTTTTTCTAAATACAGCATGAAAAAAAGAAAAGCCTGGATATATTAATTTCTAGGAAGTTTTATGCCCCTATTTATCCTCTCACTAATTTCAAGCAATGAGATAATCTTACATTTTTCCTAATTATGGTAGTCCAACCTCTTATTAAATAAAAAATTATGTCTAAGTCAACCATACCAAGCTAAATCAAAAGATGAGGAACTAATACATTCAAATACAGTTTAATTGTAAATAGCAAGCCAAATTTTAATTAGTTAATAGAGTGTTAAACTAGACATTAAACAAACAGATTACCTCATGTTTACAGGAGTACTACTGAAAAATTAAACAGTTTTAAAGACTATGTGTTATTAAAATATAAACACCAAGACTTCTATTACAAAACACTTTTTGGGCTATTTTTCTCCCACAGAGTCCCAACATCTAGAAGTGGTACTTAAGGACTTTATCTTCATAACAAATATCTGGAATACATGGAAAATTGCAGAAAATACACATGAAATGGGACTGTCTAATTTAAGCAGAAGAATTGGGCATGAAGGAAAATGGGTTCTACTCCCTTGGTCACAAATGCTTCCTATGACCTTTGGCAAGACACCCAGCCCCCTTTAACTACATTTAATAGATAAATCTTTTACACAGTTTAGGCTCTCTGTTCCATTACACTCTCAAAGTTTATTTCTGTAACAGTTGATTGCTCTAGCTGAGCACAGTGTAACATAACAGAAATAATAAGAGATTTTAGAAAATCATCAAGACTATACCCAAGAAAATACAGTGACCAGTACTTATTATAGAAGTGTCTTATTACAGAATTGATTACAGACCATCCTACACTGTATGAACACTTCAAAATAACCATTTGGGACATACAATGAAATACAACTGTATTAATATAAACCCCAAAATAAAATAAATATAATAAAAAATTAAATTAGTTTTGAAAATATGTCTATAAATTTAGGTTTAGGAATATTTAAAATTAATATGATAATGTCTAATGCATATAAACCAGAAACTATTAACCAATCAATAATTAAGCCTGTTTTTCCCTTACTGTAAATTGGCAAAGCACAGTAAGCAATATGTAACTGATTCATAAAACCTCCACAGTTTTCGCTTCTTATTAATTAAGAAGGGCTGGCAATGAGAAATATAAAGAAGCAGGTATGATCATTCTTGCCAGAAGAGCGAAGAATCACTGTAAAGCTTGTCAGGCTATTCAACACTCTAAATATGAGACAGAAGAGCTATTTTCAAAACACCTGAATTTTCAAGGTTTTTTTTTTTATTTCAAAAAGACAGGTCATGCAACACCTTTGATGAAAACTGATGTTATGCTTCTTACTTTCTTTTGAAGCAAAGAAAGCAAAATTGCAATTTCTGCTTCCCAAAAGTATCAAACAGTAAGCTGAGGTGGTACCGCAGGGGCCAGGTTGGGGATGGGTTGTTTTTGT